TACTTTTCTGCACCATGTGGGCTAATAAAGACGGTAAGATTTTTTGTGGAACAGGGCCCTAGTAATAAATTTCTAAATGGACCATTCATCTCAATAAAACAATGACAATACTTACCTTATTTTGATTGGTCAAAGTTGTCTGTAATTTATTCATCTCAGAAAGTTTCCGATTTTGAGGAAGAAATATTTGAGACAATTCAGGATCAGGATCTGTAAAATGTGCCGATTCCATATCATCTCTTTCAGCGCTTAATCTAGCTTTTAATGGTACCTGAAATTATTCAAAGAAAATGGGAGAATAAAGAAGTTGACATAAAGGAATAGAATGGAATTTTATGCTCTGCTCTGAATCAGACCTACCTGTCTATATAAACTGGGATTAGATAAATCAGGTACAGAACTAGTATAAAGATTATAGACTGTAGTTCTGTATTAGAATCAGACCTACCTGTCTATATAAACTAGGATTAGATAAATCAGGTACAGAACTAGTATAAAGATTATAGACTGTAGTTCTGTATTAGAATCAGACCAACCTGTCTATATAAACTAGGATTAGATAAATCAGGTATAGAACAAGTATAAAGATTATAGACTGTAGTTCTGTATAAGAATCAGACCTACCTGTCAATATAAACTAGGATTAGATAAATCAGGTACAGAACTAGTATAAAGATTATAGACTGTAGTTCTGTATTAGAATCAGACCTACCTGTCTATATAAACTAGGATTAGATAAATCAGGTATAGAACCAGTATAAAGATTATAGACTGTAGTTCTGTATTAGAATCAGACCTACCTGTCTATATAAACTAGGATTAGATAAATCAGGTACAGAACCAGTATAAAGATTATAGACTGTAGTTCTGCATTAGAATCAGACCTACCTGTCTATATAAACTAGGATTAGATAAATCAGGTACAGAACCAGTATAAAGATTAGACTGTAGTTTGGATGATTCTGTATCAAAATGGTGTAGTTTATAGGGAAACTTCTCTCCTAATTTATCATTCGCTATATCTTTCTTCCCTCTAGGTCTAGGTGGTTTTCTGTTACCACTTCTATCCTGAAATATCAAGTATTGTGTATGCATTACCTAAATTTTAATTTACCAATATTCAGTTTCCAAAGTTATTCAAATGACCATCGTTTTACTCTTGAATTATACAGTAGTGTAACCTATTTTCGTGGATATAAGGATTTAACACTGAATTTCGTCAAAGTTAAAAAAAGGAATTTTTTTTTTTATGTCTTAGACGTTTTCTCAGATATTCTACAAAATAATTAAAATTGGTTTATTTCAATTTTCTTTATGAATCTTTCACTTTGACCCATATTTCATAAGCAACCAACTCGGCAACGGTGGCAGAATGCGTCACCTATTTTCTTGTACAATGTTTGATCTATAAATAAGTCTAGAAAAACACGTTGTATGGATACCGGGTGGTATAATTAACTTCTCTTAGTATTTATCTTTAATATCAATTCATTATAACTAGTGACAATTCCTTCAAAGAACCATGATTTAAAAAAAAAAAATAGTGACTGACAAAATAAGATACAAACGTGATTTATTGCTAAAAGTCACTGAAACAACATAAGAATATGGTCCACTTTGTGTTCCATAGAAATTTTCTGCTGACACGGAATCCGCTAGTTGATCACATGGCTTCATTCGTTGGACTACATTCTAGCAGACGACACTTGGAATTCTGATTACCGCTTGGAATTATAAGGAAATTTCGGCCGATAAAAAATGGTGACGTTTGGTAATAAGTGAAATCTGCCATTTTGTATTTGTCAAAGTATACATTAATAATTTTACCTTGCTCGAAACTACTGGATTCATTCTACTAGCTGATATTGTAGAGAAAACCCATGTTTATCAAAACAAGAAAATTTTTAATCATTTCCGGAAATCCACGAAAAATAGATTACCACGAAATTAGGTTACTTGACTGTATGTTTGGTACATCTGAATTTAGCTAATCTAATAAACCAAAACAGGATCCTGTCTAGCAGCTGGTCCTAAGCCAAATCATTCATGCCCATTTCCAACCTAGTCTACGTTAATTAGAGCCCACAACCATAATTTGTTTGATGTAACCAATTTCATGATAATGTTAAGATTTCAACACTGTATCTGATTGAGCTACAGTCTGTGCTTAGAAGCTGAACATAAACTAGCCTCTCTCATCCAGTCCCTCTTGATAGACAAGTATAGTTTGGGCGTCAGAGACTAAACATAAACTATAGGAAAGGCTGTAAAAATATAGAATAAGATTAAGGCAACAACTCTTAATAATAACAACTTACCAGTGATAATTTCTGTATTTCTCTCTCTAATCTGGCAATCTCTTGTTGTTGTAAATCATTGATATGCTTTAATTCTGGCGACACAGCTCGTTCAGTAGAGTATCTAAAATCAACAGTCAATATTTTCAAGAATCATTCAAATACAATTTTATAGCTATATCATAATATATCTTTCGAAATTCTTTTAGTATTTTTAGTGATGAAGTGACAAATCGAAAGAATTCTGACAATGCCATTATGCTTTTGAAAGTGCTGATGCTTTAAAATCATATTCATAAGCACATAGTAAGCATCAAAGATATATGCCAGCAACTGCTGAGTCTGCCTTCATCAGTATCATTGAACTGAATGCAAATCTTAATTACTCTAGCCAATAGGTCTAGATGGAATTTTAGTCACTGGACTTAAATCCAATCACCAACTTTTGTCCAAACATGGCTGGTAAATCTAGCCAAATCAACAATCCTGATCTAAAAGCCTACAGATCAGTAGTTTGAGTTTCAGTGTCAATTTGGTTTTAAGATTTTAAATTTTTGAAATTCCTAAATACAATACAAACTGATTTGATAAAATAAAAATTTTACTTTATAAACTCTTTTTGCATTTCTTGTTGAAATCTCTGAATATAAAAATCTGATTTTGGTGTTGAAGTGATGTTAGGTTGTGATGTTATCAGTGATTGTACAGGATCAGGTGATGATATAGGCTCACTAATATACTGATTGGCTAAACGATTCATCTGACTTATATGTTCCTGTATAATATATGTTAGTATAAACACAATATAAACACAATATAAACACTGTTAGTATCTGGGTAAAGGGTGTTATAAACACACACGCATTCAAATTATGTTATTAATTGAATAAGACTCAAATCATGGTGATGACAGATGTTTTAGATACACAGATCACATCAGGATAATAATTTAGACTTATGACCACGGAAAGATAAAAGTTGATCCTGACTATTTTCACTTTTTGATTGGTATCTCCTAAATAAAAAATGTCAAATAAATCAATATAAATATTATTTTCATGCAACTATTCTAGCTGAACAAAGCTTATATATTCTATCCAAAAATACAGTTCATATTCAGGAGTAAAATCCTCTATTTTTCTGCTTCTCATGCATAACAATTTGGATAGTGAATCATTTGCTATATTTTTGAATAGAATACAATTATTATGCTGAAAACAAAAATAAAATTTCAAATACAAATAAACACCATGCTTCAAACTTGATTAAATGTTAACAAAACAACATGCATTAAAATAAAATAAATAAAATATATTTAATAATTCAAACAACAGCAACCAAAACATACTTAGTATTCCAAAATATCAATATACATTATAAAGACTTTACTAAAAAACTTTTGAAGGAATTCTAGCTATAGACTTTATGCACGCATCGGGCATATTGAATCCAGAACGAGGCTTATAACGCAAGCGTGAATAAGGTCCATAACCAGTATAAAAACCAAATTAAATCAGCATAACTTTAGCATGGGTCTCAGTTCACAGTAATCCCCTAATCTTGCATTAGGAGAAATACTTTTATGAAACTAAAACCATAAAACCATGGCTCCTCATTCAAGCTAAATTTAATTAAAGTTTTTGGACTTGAACCAAATAGCTTCAAGCTGTAGGGCCTACATGTAGACAATCTATTTGAAATTAGATTAAAATTGCGTTTCTTTTTTTTTCCTGATATGTTTGTCTCCATTGTAATCTAACAAGTTTTCTACCACAATATCATTCTAAGAGAATTTCAATTAGCTTGACGTGTAGGTTGATGACAGAAGACTAAGCTTGATGTTAGAGTTGAAACTGTTCAGCCCAATGATTGGAAATAACATAAATTTTGCTGATAGAGATATTAAGCAGACGTAAAACCTATTTTAACGTATATTGATACAATGGAAGGAAGTAAATTAAATCTGGCAACACTGAGCTTACAAATCATTTTGAATAAATTCAGTAGTAGGAGATTCCTGATATATATCACTAGTAGGCAATTTCTCATTTATAATATTTCTTTCATTTTTCCTTCTTTGACTTAACTCTGCTGCTATTTTAATTACCTAAATAATCAAGGGAGGTAACTCAAAACACTTTCATCCATTTTATTTTGTTGCAGATCAAAATTTCTATTGTAGAATACATACATATTTATGAAAAAGTGCTTAAAAATTAAGAGTTGGTAACATAACATTTGAAATAAATGTACCCTGCTTTCAATAAAGTTTTTCATAACATTTTGCTGTAATTTGTATTGAATTGTGTCACTTATGCATGATTTTGGTCAGTGATTTTTGATGCAGACTAGAGTCTTGTCAAGAGTCTACCTGTTGTGGGCACATGAGGAGACAAAAACTCTCCATTTATTTTTATTTTTTCTGCTATGTTGATGATGATCGTGCAATTGAAGTGTGAATGAATTTAATTAGATGAAGATGCTCTGTTGGATCTTGTCTCATCATGATTACAGTAACACATAGAAAACAAGCCATTTGTGTGACCACAGCATAAAGGTATAGGACAACAGTTTAATCAAAACAGATCCCTGAATGCAGTTTCTTACTCACCCTGACTAATCTTTCCTTTAAATGGTCTAATTCATCATTTTTCTCTTTTTCTAACTTTCTACGTAATATTTCCATAGATTCTTCCTTAAATATACAAAACAGTCTTGAGTCAGTTTCAGAATCAAACCCTTTAGTAATAACTCCCCTTTCTCATACCTTTTCATATTGAACATATCAAGTGTGGATAAAATATATCCCTGAAATCTATTCCTCACCAAATAAAATAAATTAAGATAGTTCCATGAGATCCTTCGACCGCATGTTAATTTCAGTCTTAGATCACATAACCTCTCATTTTCACCCTGGTCTTCCCTATTTCTCTCCTTGGCAATAATTTCCCCCCATGGTCTTCCAGTTCCTCCTTTGGGAATTCCTCCACTGTTGAGACATACTGACTTAGGGTGGTCGTATGTTAAAAGGATTATAGAGATATTAAAATATTACCTTTTCTTTCTGTGCTTTATTTAGTAAAGATCTTAAAGACTCCACTTCTTGTTTAATTTCATAAAGATGTGTTCTTAATTCTTCATTACAAGCTCTTAGATTAGCCTGAAAGGAATACAAATTTTACACCAATTTCAAAGCAGTATAGAAACAGATCTTTGGGTATATTTGACCTTTAACCGTTCAAATTTGTTGAACTTCAATTGGTTGTTATTTTATTCTCAAGGTTTTCATCATTTGCCTTCTATATGTGAGACTTCATTACCACTATGATATTTACTTTTTCAAATTGGCACAGACCACCACTTAACCTCCATCTTTTATATGACTAAGTACTGAGAAAGATGGAGTAATAACAATAGACCTACCAGTGATGAGGTAATAGGTGTTCTATATTTAGATGATTTGGTTTCATTAACTGGAGTCGATTCCTTCTTAAAACTGAAATCATAATTACTCACTATGACTTGGAGTCTCATTTCTTAGAGAACAAAATTTTACTTTAAATATTGAGTAAATTTTAAAAACAGATCACAAGTTTACTTGAAACCCATCATCTGAAGAAATTTCTCTGCACCAAAAGTCATTATAAAATTCATCCAATCAAATGTTGTGTTCAATGTAAGATTCGAATGGTTAGCAAATACCATGTAAACAATGCAGGTATTGTCTGAACACAATTTACACAAGTACTTCTTCAGATCATAAATAGCACTTGAACATCTCATTAGTTTCAGAATATTAAAAAAGTTCAATGTTGTGAACACTCAAGGGCAAAAATTCAATATGGAACAAGACCTTCGTTGACTCACTGCCTTACCTTGCTAAATGAACTTTTCTAGGTGAAATACCCAAAACACTGGCACTTCGCCTACATTCTTCATTAATCTCATTAATAACTGTACGTTCAGTACGGTCTAGATTATGACTAAATTCACGTTCTACACGACACAGGTCTTGTTTCTCTTCACGTAACTTTTCTACCTCCATTTCTAGAGATTTCACTTCTTCTTTCAATTTCACTATTTCATTCTTTTTTTCCTGAAAGATATAATTGTTGTGATTACTAACTACTTTTTCTAATGAATTGATTAAAGCTTAATCAAGCTAAACTAGCAAATGAGTGCTCCCATGAATGAATGAATATTTTAAAAAATATCTCAAAGCCAAATGAATATATTAATGTTTCAAATTTTGATACCATTGGCAGTCATTTAACATTTAAACGCAGAATGTATTAAATCCAATCAAAGTAGTGAACCTCTTTAATTTTATCTTTAAAACGAGTTAATTCTCCTGATGTTTGTTCTCTCATCATTTCTTTAGCCCTAGCAACGGCCACCATTTTATCTTTAGTTGATTGTCTGTTCAGATTTCTCTGTTCTTCTAATTCCTGTAAAAGAAACAGATAATGCTTGTGATATTTCTTAGAATCACCATTGAGTTGCCATTTTCTAATCAAGGCTTTGTAGAATTTCTTCAATTAATCTGAATTGCCTGCCACTTGCCAACGTGCCCAATCAGACCCAGACCACTGCCTCAGATGTTTAATTTTGATCTCTTTGGTAAAATTTGACCAGAGATCTTGACACTATGTACTTGATTCTGGCACCTTTAAAGTTCTTTCAATTACCCACATTTCAGTATATTACACCAATATCAGCATTAAAGTGGCAACACTATACATAATGGAGCTATATTTCTATGTAAATGAATGTTCATGTGGTCCATCAACTTAACGGTTAACCATGTATTGATAATAACTAGAAACCTTTGGATTTGACACAAATGAAATGTAATATAAGCCTTGAAACTAGATTTTTATTAAGGGGGGGGGGGATGTATATTGAGGGGATGAGGATTTGTGTATTTTCAGCAAGAGCATAACATAATTCCACCGTCTCGAACAAAAGATAAAAGGTTAGGACAACTTATAGCAACTTAAACAGAGGCTTAAACAGAGAATATATCAATTTGATGTAATTATTACAAACTTTTAAACTTCCAGAATAACTTTCATACTGAACCAACCTGATTATAAGCATCAATAAATCTCATTCTAACAGATCTTAAAGCATGAAAATCCATTTTATTAGTCACTAAAACAGTATATAGAAAACCAATTGATAGTCAAATTAATACTAATAAGTGACTAGTACACAATACAGTGACAATTGAGATATGAATACAGGAAAATACTAGTATGATAATCTATTATTATTAACAGGGTGGTATGAAATGCCCCAATCCCCCTTATTTAGGATTTTAAATAAAGTTCAACATGTTTTTTAATCATATTTTCATATTACAGAATTGATTCTGTTGAAAAATGGTGATTTAGAAGCTTGGTACCTCCTGGTACTTGATGGTGGTTTGGTTGGTTGGTTGGTTAGTAGATGGTAAATTAACATCGGCTTACAGCTAAATCACAGACTAGCTTGTTGTTTGTAGTTGTGGTACTTTATAGAAGGAACTCAATCAATTGAATGGTTTGGTACAGCTGGTTGTTGGCTAGATTTGTGGTTTTCACCCACAAATGGTTTGGTCAGAAAGTGGATTTAGCAACATAAGATAGTCCAAAATTCCAAAAACAGCCACAACAGGTAGAGGGCATTTCTCACGAACCAAAAACTAATCTTCACTAATAATACTCTCTCTAATATTAAACCCTGTTATAAATCATTAAACCTCTAGTCTTTATACTTGTCTTTAGTCTGTATATAAACATTTCTTATCAACTAATAAATCACAGGTAAAATAATGTCACAGTAATTATTGTCTGTTTACTTTTATCAGAAAGGTACATGTCATGAAATGTAATGTTATAAAATGAAATATAATGTCATGAAATATTATGAAACAGAACGTAATGAAACAAATATGTCAAACTAATGTCAGTAATTACTTTTACTATGATTATATTCAGTGTCATAAAATGAAATGCAAAAATATGTAATGCAATAAATTGTAATGAAATAAAATATAACAGAAACTAATGAAATAAATTTACAAAAAAAAAATCACAGCGATTACTTTACCAGATATGCCATAATGTTACTGTAATAATATACAGTGTCATGAAATGTGATGGCTTGTGTATTGGCAAAATATATAATGTCATGAAAAATAATTAAATGAATTGAAATACTCTGTCATGAATTGGATTGTAATGAAATAAATCTATGCATACTACAAAAATGTTACAGCCATTCCTATTTTCCGAACCTTACTTATCAACTTGAGCAATATGTAATATTGAAATGACACGTCATGAAATGTAATGAAAATATAACACAGAAATCATTTTGAACATAGAACGAATGTTGTAATGAATTTACTGCACACACCAAATTTTCTAATAAAACTAATCTACTTGTGAATGTGAGTCTATGTCAACATTGTAAAGAATACAGCTTTATAAGTTATACAGGTGTAGTATAGAGACATGAGAATATGTCTAGTAATCTATTATTCTTAGTTTATTAATAATAACTTAATATACTCTACTATTGTCAAATTTCTTATTTCATTGTCAAATATCATTTGACATGTCAAAGTGGTTGACCTTCATTGATTTTTGTAGATTAATGTCTTAGTAGTGTCAAAAAGTCAGCCAAGTAATTTAGAATATTAATCAGTATTAATTAAGTATTATTAAGTAGTCAACCAAAGTCTTCATATCAACATCCAATGGATGTGATCTTTTTAATCCATGGAAAAAAGCATACAGTTGTTCAGATAGGACAATATTCAGGTTTCTTTAAGGTTGGAGATCGATAAAATAGGCTAATGTCGCTGTCCTGGATAAATTTCCCTCACTGCACATTGCATGGCCTTTAACATCTTTATTAGATAAAATTAGTTATAAAAAAGGTAGTAAAACTCCAATGAAACATGAGGATCAACTGCTAAAAGAACACACAGTAGGAGTATGGACAATTTTCAGATGAAGAGACAATGAGTATGCTTCTATAAAGATTAATATTGCTAAACTCCAGGCTGAAACAATTCATCCAAATCAAGGAGAATCCTGAGTAATTTTTACAAAAGAAATTTGTGAGAATCCTCCAAATACTGTAGGATCTTCTCAAATTTTTAATACAAGTCCCTGTTTCTGTCTATTGAAACGACAGTCTTTGGGTGTTTAATTGTCCAATCGAAAATGACTATGATTCTAAATTTGACCAGCATTATACAAAACCAAAAAAAATCAAATGACACAGACAGATTATGAATGATTTTGCACGAATCCCACGAGACACAGGCTTTTCATGATTACAAGAGTGGGACACTCGCATGAATTTTAGACCTGAACTCTGACAAAACTTCAGTCTTACCTGTTGAGCTACTTTAAGTTGTTGTTTAATTTCTTCCTTTACCGCCTTTTCTTGTTGTAATATCACTGATATCTCTTCTATCTTACGATTATTTTCACTGACTAATGTTTCTCTTTCACGTCTGACAGCCCAATCTCTTTCTGTTTCTAAAATACTTCTTTCTCTAGTTACAGCTTGTGTCACCTTGAATCAGAAATTATGAGAACATACTACAACAAAATGTCCTGTCAGTTGTGCACAACAATCTGACACTGACAAAAAACATTGAGTTTTGTCGTATTTAAAGATGGCTGTTAAATGAAGGTTGATTCTATTAAAAAAACAGTAACTTTATATTAAATATTTTGGTTTTGAGTAGGCCTACAAGTAAGTACAAAGTTCTTATACCTGCTGTTGAATTTCCTCTTGAACTTTCTGCTGTAGTTGTCGTCTTTCTTCTTCTAGATTTTTCATTAAATTTTGAATCTTTGAAATTTCTTCATTTTTATTCTGAAAAGGCAAGGGTCTAATCAAAATACAAATCTAGATATTGTTTTGTTTTATGTTTTCAAGTTCTTACTTGCCATTCATGTGCTGATGGATATTATTTTCAGTGAAACTTTGACCATATAATTTATGTAAATAAATCAAAACACATATGCTGCAAAACAACTTCATGGATTACAAAAAAGAAACCACCGAAAAAATTTCTAAATTCTTATTCTTGTGGATACTAGCATCATACTGAAGAACGATATTTAGTAATATACACAAAAACCTACTGAAATTATCTTCATATTTTCTGTCATAACCTGAGCCAGTTTCTCATCATTTTTCTTGACTGAATCTTTTCTATCAGTTTCTATTTCTTCTCTTAAATTCTCTAATGCTGTTTGTTTCTCTAGGAACAAAGATTCCCTCAGTTGCATCATGGCTGAATCCTGAAAATGGTGTATCATTTGAAAAATTTGAATTCAAAGTAACTAAAATGGCTACATGCTTCCTTGAACATTTGAGTGTAAATCAAAAAAATGTCATATACTATAACTCTAAGTAATATAACTTAAAGTTTATGACATTATGGTTAGGTAAAGTCACTTGGTAACGACACCTCTACCAGGTCTACCAGCTGCTCAGATATATATATCCTGTAATTATTAGGCCAGTAAAGCAGCTGCTATGCTGCACAAAAAGCTAAAAATGTTCCTGTTTTGTCATAACTATAACTTTATTAAGATAATTTCATCATTTTAAAAAAATTTCATGTATCTGTGCTCTTTTCAGAAATAAATTGTGCATATTTAAGTTAAAACTGTCCCATTGGAAAACAGTCGGGTGTGGAGAAATACAAAAAAAAAATAGAGACATGTTTCATTGTTTAGAAATAATTTGTAAAAATGCAGAAAACTTACTGTTTCCTTTCTAAAATTAAGAAGTGATCGTTTATGATCTTTCAAAATGGCTTCCCTAGCTTCTTCTTCTTTAGCTAAAAGTTGTTGTAGCTCAATATTCTGATCTCTAAAGATATGAAAAGATGAAGATCTTTAAATGAATCATTCTTGGCCAAATATTGGACAAATTTGATTGATTTTCTGTCTACAATGGATTATCCATTATGGATAATCGAAGCAGCAAACCAAGATAAGAAGATTTTAACTCTTTATCTTTAAATAAAAGAATTAAGTATTTTATGTCACTGTTTTGGAGCTGGATATGCTGATTAAGATTGGCAACACCATGCAATGTGCAATGAGGACAAATTTGCTGAAACAGCAGCATTGGCTTCGTCTTTTATGATTTTCAACAGGTTAGAGATCTTTATTGTCCACAGGTTGTAGAAGATATGGCTTTTCTTGTTTGTCTAATCCTACAGAAAATACTAGATAAATAATGTGTGGTTCAGTTTTTGAAAAAAATTGGCCCAAGAAATTTAGAATAAGAAGCATACCGAAGTTTTAAATTCAACTCATCCTTTTCTTTATTTCTCTCTTCTAGATCACTTAATCTCACTCTTAAATCTTTCACTTCCTGTTGTGATGTCATCAATTCTTGATCAAATCTGTGCCTGCTATCACTTCTATCATGTTTTAGTTTTTCTTTCAGAACTTCATTTTCTTTCAATTTTTCCTGTATTAAATATTTTAAGAGGTGAATTTGAAGCTTTGATGCTTCATTTTTGTTTCAGGTGCTGCCATTACCATGGCAATGAGAGAAAGGTAGAAATTCCTAGCTAAAATCCTACTGCCACCAATTAGATTAAGACTGCCTTTGACTAAATTCAGCAGTATCAATGTTCACTGTCATAATCCCTGTGGCCACTACTTGGCTCCTTCACCTAATGATTCCTACTAACACCCCTGACCTCAGCCTGTGTCAACATACCTGAATGATGGAGTTTTTCTCCTGTTCTGATTGTCTGTATGTAGATTCTAACTGTAGTAACTTGGTTTGTAGTTCATCTCTATTAGACTGGACTTCTTCTAACTGTGATGTTATAGACTCTACTTCCTAATAAATTTGACAAATAATTAGAAGAAGACAATGACTGGCAACTATAGCCAAATCAGAAGCCCTATACGGATTGACATGTTTTTGAAAAGAAACAAATTCCACCTTACCAACTGAAGTTCTTCTTTTTGAATTCTGCCCTGTTTCTGCTCATGAAACAAATCTTCCTTCCCAGCATTCACTTGTCCTACTAATTCATCTCTTTCAAGTTGGATTGTCTCAGAGCTCCGACACTTCATTCTTAAAGTTGAATTCTCTTCTTTAAGATGTTTAACCTGAAAGATATTTAAAAATAGCAGTTTAGTCCTTAGTCCTTTTTGCAACCAAAAACATAAGTATGATTATCTGAATCAACAAGAGCTCATCTTTTGCTTCCAACACATTTTAGGTATAAAATCCTCATCAGGATACATTCATGTCAATGACAACAAATAACTATGTTTACCTCTACAATAGACAATCCTAAAGAACGAAATTCTTGTACATCTTTTAATTTCTCCTGTATTTGATCATGAAATGTTTCACTCTGTGATTTCTGTTTTTCTAACTCTTCATTTAATCTATCTAAATCTTTCTCTGTATTGTGGCGCTTGAATTCTGTTAACATCAATTGGGTCCTAAAAATGAAATAATTAAAAATGAAATGACATATACACCTTGAAAATGTGCTCATAATAATCGGAAATGCTATGCAAAATGTAATAAACATTTAATTTTTTTTTATTTCAAATTTCTAAATGTTGTAGAATCTTTGAAGTCTGCAGTCTGTAGCACACACAGCTTCTGTTTATTGTTCCATTGAATTCATCCATCCAACTATCCATAGATCCCAGTTGGAGAGAAACATCTTAAGATATAGTTTAGTTATACAATGATGGACTTTTAGTACTAATAGTTTGTGTTGTATTTCCGTTTCATTAATCCTTCAACCACAAGGTTCACACCAGATTCAAGATTTGATCAAATGACTTGTTGGGATCTCTTTTCACAATAATAATATCCCAGTTATTTACCTTGCATTTTCCCCTTTTTCTCTGGTATCTTTTAGATTTGATTCACATTCTCTTAGTTCTAGTTTAGATCTTTGTAGAGCTTCTCTTAATAATTTCACTTCTTTCTCCATAGCCTAAAAATTTACATATTACTTCTCATAAATCCAATTAAGATGATATAAACATACATTGTTGAATATTCATGTGGGCCTACAATTTTCATCAAAAACTTAATTACAACTTTTACTAGGTCAAGGTCACTCTTTTGCACCAAACATTATACTACTTGTTGTTCTGAATTACTATTTAATTTGAAGTAGAAAAACTTACCATTTTTTCATCACTAATAAAACTGTAAGATTCAGTTTTCTTGTTCTGAAATAAGTATAAAATATATAATTGTTTTCCTTATTATATGAAAAATTCTCTTTGCTTTTGATGCGTCAGGTTTTTTTAGTCTCATTTAATGTAGCACAGTTTATAGTCTTTTCTTTTCAATATTGCTAATTAGATTAATGAAGATGGACAAAGCCATGCAGTGTACAATGCCAAAATTCATAAGAACAATGGCATTATTTATCTCTTTCCAGTTTTCAGGGAGGAGGAGAGGGGTTGGCTAGAACCAGATGTGAAAATATAGAACTCTTACCATAGTAGTAAATGATAGAGATGGAGGCCCTGTAAGATTTGATGACATCCTAGCAGGTGAAGCAGAACGTCTTTCTTTACCCATCTCTAGTTGTATTCTAGCTGATTCTCTCTCTATTTCACGACATGTTTCATCTACACTATCAGTATCCATTTCACCATTGACCTTTAATTTCTCTACACTGTAATATACAAATCGTCAACTCTTCATTGACATTCATAAAATAGTCAGTTGCAGCTCCAACCTTCTGGAACTGGGAAATTGGGGGCAGACTGACTTAATGGGGTTGAGATTTCAAATGTAGAAGTGCTGCAGAAGTGTTGCAGACACATGCCTCCAAAGGAGGGTCTAAGGAAGTTTTACCCCAGAAAAAAGTCAAAAACAGCATTGATTCAGTGCACTCTAAAACATTTTTGTTAAATCTTACAAATCATGTGGGTATGAAAACTATTTTTTCTGGGAGTGCAAAAATTATAGAATAATTTGAAATGGGAATTGAGATTATGGTGTATGGTATTTGAGATCCAGGTGTAATATGTAATGGTAATTGAGATCCAGCAGATGTAATATGTAATGGGAATTGAGGTCTAGGTGTAATATGTAATAGGAATTGAGATTATGGTGTATGGGAATTGAGATCTAGGTGTAATATGTAATGGGAATTGAGATTATGGTGTATGGGAATTGAGATCTAGGTGTAATGTGTAATGGGAATTGAGATTATGGTGTATGGGAATTGAGTTCTAGGTGTAATATGTAATGGGAATTGAGATTTAGGTGTGATATTTAATGGTAATTGATATTACTGTTAATATTTAATAGTAATTGAGATCATGGTGTAATATATACTGGTAATTGTGATCATGGTGTAATATATACTGGTAATTGAGATCTAGGTGTAATATGTAATGGGAATTGAGATTATGGTGTATGGGAATTGAGATGTAGGTGTAATATGTAATGGGAATTGAGATTATGGTGTATGGGAATTGAGATCTAGGTGTAATATGTAATGGGAATTGAGATTATGGTGTATGGGAATTGAGATCTAGGTGTAATATGTAATGGGAATTGAGATTATGGTGTATGGGAATTGAGATCTAGGTGTAATATGTAATGGGAATTGAGATTTAGGTGTGATATTTAATGGTAATTGATATTACTGTTAATATTTAATAGTAATTGAGATCATGGTGTAATATATACTGGTAATTGTGATCATGGTGTAATATATACTGGTAATTGTGATCATGGTGTAATATATACTGGTAATTGTGATCATGGAGTAATATATACTGGTAATTGTGATCATGGTGTAATATATACTGGTAATTGTGATCATGGTGTGATATATACTGGTAATTGTGATCATGGAGTAATATATACTGGTAATTGTGATCATGGTGTAATATATACTGGTAATTGTGATCATGGTGTAATGTATACTGGTAATTGTGATCATGGTGTAATATATACTGGTAATTAAGATCCATGGTGTTATAAGTAATGGTAATTGTGATCATGGTGTAATATATACTGGTAATTAAGATCCATGGTGTTTTAAGTAATGGTAATTCAGATCCATGTGAAATATGTAAGTTGCCAGTAGACTGTAATACTTACCAGTAAAGTGGTGCTGTCTATTGATTGATACTTACCAGTAAATGTGTACTGTCTAGCACTTCATACTTACTAACACAACTGAATTATCATAGTATGAACATTATTGCCTATCAGAATGTCTATGTTTCACTATTTTGATATAGAATGATATATTGAGGGGTTTATATTATAGAAGTATAAGTATATGAAATAGGTAATAACTTATTAATAATGTATAGACATGAAGTTATCAATATTAACACCTACTAAATTATAACTTAATGAATATATATGAGCCATAATGACTGGTATATCTTGAGGTTTTTTTTTTTAGATCTTTGCTCTATACAATTCATTTATTTTCATTAGTACTTTTAGTAATAAACAAAAATGTTTCAGAAAACACTCTAAAGCATAACATCTGGGGTTTTATCTCAACCAATGCTGTGATTTAAAGTCCTAAATATTGGTGAAATACTAAATGAAAACTAAATCGATTGTTTTCCTGAATTCATTGAACCTCCAGTTTAAAGCCAAATATACAAATGTAGTACACTGTCATGGTTCCGCAAATCAATCGAAAATAAGAACTATGCTTCTTATCAATACAAAAAGTCCAGCCAGTAAACAGAAGAATGAGGAAACACAGGTTATTAATCAGGTGTTAACATATAAATCACAAGTTAGGTCTACCTAGATAGTGTACCTCTTATTATAAATCATGGTACAGGAAACATATGAATAGTTTAGGTCAAATTAAATCATTTGAACACAAGATTAAAACCAAAAATATCTTTAGCAGTGGCATTTCTTTGAATCTTTAGGTGAAGGAGCCAGGTAGGGACTGAGAAGGGAGGTGGGGAGGGTGCTGCTTGAAGTAATTCTGAGAATAATTGTTTTTTATTTGAAAACCATATTTTCTTAACTTCAGAATTAATGTATACTTATTGTATCATCCTATTAGATTTTATACAGTAAATATATGAAAAAAAACTTGTGGTTTTCACCAAATTAAATGTTGAAGGCTTAATGTACTACCTAATCAGGATTAATCCTCAATAACATTGCATAACAAGAAGTTTTTTACCTCCTAAATTGAAAAGTTGATATACACTAATTATGTTGTCATATTTGCAATTTACCTGTGTTTTCTAAAAATTCAAATTTCAAATAACAGTAGGCATTTTACTCATTATTTGAGCTAAATGTCTTACCTTAAAAAGATAAATCATCAAGAACACATACACAAATTTTTTTTTACCTCCAAAATTGAAGAAGTAGAAATATACTCTAGCAGTCCCTATAAGATTAGGGTATGTAAGTAATAGTAAAGTATATAGGTAGATGTGTTGTGTCCTGTTTTAGAATGAGTTGAAAGATAAACAAACAAGGTGTGGGGGTTTTAAAGTGGCCAATAGTTGACTTATTAGATTAACCTTATCAATCAGTTATAATCCCTTTCTCTTTATCTTTATAGACATAATATCTGAATATGGGTAATCCAAATATGAATAAGAATTTTATACTTTTACTACGTTCATAAGCATTTAATGGAACTGGTGCTGCTCAGTTAGATTCAGGGTTAAATCCCAGCATACTCCAGAATAATACTTTCAGATTTTTAAAATCTAGTACCCAGTGATGGTGCAAGTTTGCGGAAATTTCCTGAGCATTTTAAAAAAATAAGACAAGACAGCCTGATGGGATTATTACCAGCTTCAAGCACAAACATACTTGCATATATTTGAAACTAGTTCTCACTTGATATTGCTGAAGGTTCAGAGAACTGGCATCAAACCCATCTAGTCCTTAATAAATTGTCACTGAGAGCATTGAAACACAGAATCGCTGCATTTTTCCAGTGCCTTAATTATGAAAAAGAGCTACAGTGGAAATAAATATAGCAATATACTGAAGTTCTGTAAAGCTTTTGAATTCAATTGTGTCCAATAAACAGGCCACTATTAAAGGAGATTTCGTGAAAATTATCATTTAATACAAATTTATTACAATTACATATTGTAATTTATCAATAAAAATATAACAATTAAAGATCATTCTCCAAATCACATGTTACCTTGGAATATATCAATAACAAACTTTCATTTGTTACATTAATAACAAACTAACTTCATTTGATACATAAATAACAAAACATTTTCTGATAAATAGAAGACAAAATATTATTCGATACATAAATAACGAAATTTTCATCTGATATATAAATAATAAAATTTCATCTGATACATAAATAACCAAATTTCATTTGATACATAAATAACAAACTTTAATTTGATATATAAATAGCAAAATTTCATTTGATTCATTAATAACAAATTTTCATTTGATGCATTAAAAACAATTTTCATTTGATACATAAATAACAAAGTTTCGTTTGATACATAAATAGCAAAATTTCATTTGATACATTTTGAATTTTACTGTCTGTCATGGAAATGATTTTGTTATAATTTCTGAAATAATGTGGCCAAAATTCAGAATTTTAATGTAAAAAATTAGATTTTGTTGGTTAATTATTGTTTATTATCGAATAAAGAAGCTAATGCTTTGACACTTTTCCTTCGATATGACCTTCTCCTACTTGGACAACTTCGTTTTAATTGTTCCAACAAAGAATTTGGTTCAGGGCGTATTATATATGGTGCTTCAGACACCCAAATATTAATGTTATCTTTAGAGTGTCTACTTTGAGACACCTGGTTTTCAATATGGTACATATGGCCTCTATAAGGTATATCAGAGTCTTTGTACTGAATTGGACCTCGTGAAAGTTTATATGGTGTGTCTGATACCCTATATTGATTGGGGAGTGATTTGTTCTCGAAATCATTTTCTTTTGTGTTCCCAGTGGTAGTTTTGGATTGATGCTTAGACACAAAAGATGGAGTCTCATAAAGATTTTTGGTAGTTTGTTTACTAGTTTCATAGATTAAGGATTTACTCATACTAATTGCTTGATCTTCAGAGACTTGAGAAGCTTTAGAAACCCTGTTTACAATTTGGCTATCAGAAATGCTAAGTTGGACCTCTGATATGTCTACAGTTCCTGTAACTTTCTTGTCAAATCGGTTCTCAGAATTACAACCTCTGGTTTCAGTTAACCTGGTTCCATGGGAAACATTGGGAACCCTTTTGCTCATTAAGTCATCAGAGCTATTACATGGAGTCTCATAAAACCCACTGTCAGCATGCTTTCTTGAACTTCTAAAAGATGATTTAGACGACCTATTGTGAATAGGATCCACAAAAATCTTTGATGTCATCTGAACTTTATCATCCATATGACCATCTGAACCAATTATTTCAATTACACCAATATCAGATTCATATTGTTGACAGGATCTGTTAAAAGACTCACTGTTACCAGTATTGAGAGAGGATGGTTCTAAAGCCTCCTGAGAACCAGCCGTGGAAGTTCTCAGCTGTATTTCAGCAGACCCACTGTCTCTCTCGTCTAGTGTTTCAGAAATTCTGTTATGTTCGTTTTCAAGCTTGATCCCACAACATCCATTTTGATTCATATATGGGAGTTCAGAAATTGGACTATCAATATGATTTATAAAGCTATTCACTGAAAAGTCAGAAGACCCATTTTGATTCCTATATGGGAGGTCTGGAATCATACTATCAATATGGTTGCTGAAACTTTTCATTGAGCAGTTGGTAGACCAACATTGATTCATGCATGGAGCTTCAGAATCAGATGACCCAGTGTAAGTATGTCTGAAACTACATTGTGTGTCTGCTACATCACCAATCATTGAGTTCCTAAAGCTACTTGATGATTCTGTATTAGAACTTGTTGATGCATTAACACACTGAATATCCGACTGATTGTCTAGATACCTTGAATTCAAACATTCAGACTGCTCTTTAGGACTGTTATATGTTTCTTCAACAATCGTTTTAAAAATGTCATAGTATTCATCATTTTGTGGCATTTCAGTTTCAATTTGCTGTGTCCAACTTTTTCTAGGGAACAGTGGACTTTCAGGATCTTCATAATGTTGTTGGGAGGAATCAGTTGAACCATTTTCAGATGATATCTCAGAAAAACTTGAACATTCAGAAGATGAGACTGTGGTAAAAGAATTTTGATGAAGTAAACAAGCACCATTCCCATTAGGTACTGGTGATGATGCATCAAATTGGGTTCTCAATGTGAAGTTTGCAGTTGAAGTAAATCTTGTTTGAATGTCTTCATTTAATCCTTTTTGGACAAAAAAGTTACTTTCATCATCTGTTTGAGACTCTTTAGACTGTAATGGAGGTGGCAGTGGTGTTTGGCAGAATGCCTCAGCTGTTCGAACAAGTCCATGTGTTTGTACACATTGGGTAGATTTCACATTCGTATCGGTTTGTATTTCTTTACACTCGGTTGTTCTGGATGTTTCTGATACTTCCTGTATGGTTTGTGTACACTGATCTACTAAGCTAGATATGCTGCATCTATCCATTTGAATATCTTGATCATATCTGCTGCGAGGAGAAGGTGATGATGAAGATGAACTGTCTGGAAAGTATTTTTGGTCAGTCTGACATTCCTGTTCCACAGAATTACACTTGTAAAGTTTTCTATTTTTAGGCTGAATGAAAACACTATCATCACTGTTAGAAAAATCTGATTCTTTTGTATCACTGTACATTAAAGATCGTTTATGACGACTGCATCGTCTTGGACGTGGTTTTGTTATCAAATATTGGTCATCATCAGATCCTATTGAACTATCCACTGAACTATCTATAGGTTTAAAATGATTATTGAATGTTGTGTCTGAATCGGGATCAAGGTCATTATCCTCACCATTCTCATTTGTCAAAATTAAAGCAGGATACCCTAAAATTGTTTGCTTCTTTTCTGAAAATGATTTATGTATTTCTGAATCAGACAATGCATGTTTAACTCCTTTAATAAAAAAGCTGTTTCTGGTTGTATGCAGATGGATTGGAGGTGATACAGAACATCTTTGGCTTACAGTCAGTAGTGGGGATGAATTTTGGCCATCAGAAATCAGTGAATCTGAGTCTGAAGATCCAACAGCCAGTAACTTATTCCTGAACAATGGATATTTAATACGATCACTTGGTTGGGGTTCATATTGACATCCAACATTTACACACTGAACTCTACCTTCTTTAACTAGATAAAACTCATCCCCCAAATCTTGAATCACTTCCAAATGTAATTCACAGTCTTGTATTTTTTCTAAGGGAGTTAAAGAACCATCGTCTGCTTGAATACCAGATGAAGAGTCCTCATATGCTGTTGGAGAAGATCCAGCATCTTCAAATAAATGAGGAGAAATGTTTAATGGTGAAGGCAAGGGAGAAGGAGAGTCTTCGGGTGAAGTAGAAAGTTGTAAAGATGCACATTCAGCATCTAGTGCCTCATCGGAGAGATGATCCACAAGATCATCTAGTTCTGGTTCTTCCTCCTGCTGGTCATTCAACTCATTCAATCTTGGTGTAGCATCATCAATATCCAGACTGTCAAGCTGGTTGTCCAGACCCACCTCAATCACAGTGACAGGTGATTGTGGTATAGGTGAAGAGATTGATGGTGACATTGGAATGTGTAACAGTGAAGGATCTGGTTGATCTACTGTAACTGGACTGGTCATCTGGATGTTACCGTCCACATCTTGCAATATGATAGACACCATGGCTGGTTCAATCTGAGTAGGCTTCATGATATTAGCTACCTCAAGACTATCACTGGAAATGTTTGATTTCTTTCCGGTTTTGGACATTTCTGATGCAACAACTGTTTGTTTATTATCATTTTCTGAAAAGATAATATCATGAACATTATAAACAGTTTAAAAAACAGGTTTATTGCAGGTGTCAGTTTCTAACAAAGAAATCGGCACTTAATCTGATTTTTGCTTACCTAAAACTTAACATCAAATCACAAATACAAACAATCATGGTGCCAAAAAAGCTAGACTTGTTATAGGTAGGTAAGATTTTTGTCCTCGATATGGGGGAGTTGGGGGAGGGGGGAGTTGTTGAATGAGTGCAGTTCTACTTCAAGGTCTTATTTATTAATCATTATTTTGTATTGCTCATTAGATTTAAATATCAGATAAAAACAAAAGAATATCAAATTTCCCAGAAAAAAAATCATTTTATAATATGACCTTTTTGATTAGTGAAGAGTAACGTCATCTTTACATCAAAACATTACAAAAAGGTCTCAATGTGATATAAAAATTATTATTACCATATCAGATTATTTGAGATTTAAAGGTCAAATGACTTCTCTATCCTGTGATAGTGGATCTTAACCATCGGTCAATTGAACTGCTCTGTCAGTCATGACTGGCAACTAGAGCCAAATCAACAGCCCTGGTGCAGTCCCAGATAAATTTTAAAAAATGGAAACAGTCCCTATTAAGATAATTTCATGAGAAAATATTTAAGTGTCATGGCCAAAGCCAGTAAGTCTCATCTCAATTCTTGGGAGGGAGTCACCACGACAATCTTGTTAGTTGTTTTTGAGTTGTCATGAAAGCAGTTGCAGACGTGTATCTTAAAATGGCCTACCTTCTTTAGGAACATGATGGACTTCATGGACATATACTTTATCTAGTTCAATTTTCTGGTCCTGTTTCTTACTATCATAACTGAAATCACTATCAGAGAAAGATGTGCAAGAATCTGATAGTCCCTCCTCTTTCAGAAAATCTTTCAATAAGGATTTTTGATTCACTTCCAGCTTTTCTCTTTGAAGATTGATCTCCTCTTCCTCATTCAAAGTTTCCAAATTGATTGGTAGAGATTGTTGTCTGCTGTCACTGAAGATTTTACGTTTGTGATTCACTCCTCCTAATCCAAGCTTTAACAGACCAGCATGTGACTCTACATATTCACGTAATCTGGCCAAACGTGTATCCTTGACACTAGATTTACATTTACTTTCAGCACATGGTAACTTGGTCTTTAGATTTAACTTTGAAACTGTTGGATATCTCAATATTGGTTTCTCATTGGATTTTAAGGACACTTTTGATTGAGGTGTGTCTTTGGATACCTCACTGGTCTTTGAATTATGTAAATTAACATTTGAAAAACAAGTTTTTTTTAGTTGTTGACACTTGAGAAATTCTTGTTGCTCAGCTTGGGCCTTTGCCAACTTTTCATACCAACTGCTCATAAAGCGTTGAGGCAGACACCGACCAGAATCACCAAATCCCAAACTCAACAAAACACTTTCAGCAGCTGAGGGAACATGCTGTATCATTGGATTCATCATGGCAAAATTTCCGTAATTTACTCTTTCTTGACTGGTGAAAGTTGATAATGGAGGTGAAAATCCTGGATAAATTGGTGACATTCCTGCAGCACTGGCAGAGGCAATGTTTGGTAAACTGACAGAATGTTGTTTATTATAAATAGAGTCAGAAGTGTCAGAGTATGCTGATGATTCTGTTGAAAATCGAACACTTGAATCACTTTTAGTAGATTTATTTAATGAATATTTAGAAAAGGAGATACCAGTAGAGTCCTCATCAGGTAAAATTAAATCCTTATGTTGGATTGAAACAGATGAAATATCACTATCCGAAAACACAGATTTCATTTTATTATCCACTTCATTTGTGTTAAAAGAATCTTGAGGAGAGCCACTTTGACTGCCAGGGTCATTATCCCATGTTAACACTCGATCAAAGACATTTTCTAATGTCAGAATATCTTTACTATCATCTTGATCACTTTCAAATAGACTGGGCGACCGTGATAGAGGGTCATTGACAGAATCTTCCAGTTCTGCTATATATCCACTAGATACACTATTTATAGAACTTTGACGGGAAACTGATGGATTGTTTGCAGCAGATGGAAAATAATTATGTTTGAATGAATAAGCAGACGTCAATGAATCTGTAGATGAGGCTGTACCAGTAGAAGTACTTGTTGTCAAAGATGCCTCTTCTTCAAAAGTTGTGATAGAGTCTTCTGTTGCTGGACAATCCAACATGAATTGGTGACCGCTGCTCCCATCCCATGACAGCTGTCTACTCAATCTTTTCAGAGCTTTGTTGTAAGTAGGTTTAAGTGGCGAATTTTTGAGGCTGGAAAAGAAAAAGAAAAATGGTACTGGTTGAAGTTAGTGTCGACATGACGAGGTGAGAGCCATTTTCTTCTCTTCAAGAGCATTTGAACAGTGGCGGAGCGACATATCTGAGATTGCACGAATTTCTAACCAAATTATGAGATTTTGGACTGAAAAACTCTCTTATGGCTCTGCCACTGGATTTGCACTTAGTAACCCAAAAGACAACAATCAACTAAGCTCATCTCATTTCATAAGATAAAAGTAAAATTCAGTGTTCTTTTATATCAAATATCTAAATACATAGTTCCCTGGTGAAAATACTGTCGTCTGGTCATTTTCTAAAAATATACCTTGAAGCAGATACCTTCAATCAAAAAAAATATTTGGGATACAATTAAACCTGTGTTAGCTTTACCAGTAATTCCCTGTTTCACACAGTAACTTATGATAACATTGTATATAATATAAACATCAGTTATTAGACAACTAATGACCTTTATAGTTCTACATTACATTGATTACCTGTTTTACCATCATTATATTGATTCCAAATGTCAAATAATCACTCATTAGCACAATCTGACTGTCAACAAATAACAAGGGCAATAACTCTTTAATGATCTGCAACAACTATCTTTTAATGGAAACTGAACAATTATCTTATTTATGAGTTGATAGCCTTTACTTAAAAAAAAAACAACGAAAATCAAGTTTGTATATTAAATCAAAGTTTTTCAGTTAGTTCGGTGTTTGAACATTATTTTATTTTCAAAGATAACAAGCTGCCTACAATCTGGTTCTTAGCCTGAGCCAAACCTCCTGTTTAACCATTTATGAAGCTAGATGACTTCAGACTTCCAGACATCAACCAAGATTCGAGTCAATGCCCCAATAGATTAATTTTTACATAAAAATGCAACATGGAATGGATGCAAAGGATAAGGCTTAATGTGGTAAAAAGCAAATTTAGGAGAGATGTCCCAACAAAATTTCTCTCATTGCATGGTACATTTATCTTCAATCTTCATTAATCCAAAATATCTCAAAAGTGTAAGTTCTTGTTCATGTAATCAATTCCCAGCATACAACTGAACTTAATGACATTACATTTCGGACCCCTTGATGAAATTTTATCAAATTTGAACTCATCTGAAATTTCACTTATACAGACATTATAAAGAAATCATTTATTCATCATCACTCCTTTAAAATATTATATGGAATCCGAAACAAAAGCCTACCTGCTCATACCAGCAGTCATATTTCAAACAGTTGAATCCAATACCATTGTGTAAAAAGTTTACAGTTAGAAATGGTCAGAAATGGTCAGGGCTGGACATGTGACAGAACATTGTTTATAATACATAGTAATTAGTATGATATTGACCACCTACTCTTCAATCAGTTAATAATCAACCATGTCATATAACTGTTTGTACTAATAATTATATATAGTACTACCAGTTATCACATTACTAATAGCTTCTACTATTACAATAATAAATGACCATTTCAACACATGAAAATTTCTGTTTTTATACACCTACATCTTTGTATGACCATGTTTACTGGCACCCACACAGACGTTGAGGGGATTGTAAAGAGGTTTTCTATATTTCTAAATGTATCATACAAAATAAAAATAAAATTACTGTAAATTTGGTGTATATTGCACACTTTTTTTTTCTGTGATAAGCAGGGAGGAGTGCTCATGATAAACAGTGATTCACTTGATGGTAGGACTATATGGACTCAGACCACTAAAACTTTTTATGATTGTATACAAATTCAGTCCGTGCTATTTTAAGAAATCCTCCCTTTTTGGTTTTTTGTATGCTCATTTTAGACTTATATCTGGTATGGATTTGGAATTTGGTGTCGGAAATTGAATTGTCTTTCAGGTTTTCTGCGTTTGAAAGTCAAAAAGACGACTTGTCTTTTCTTGATACTCTGCCATATATAGAAAAGACAATTAAAGAAAAAGTAAGTAAATTCACATTTTTGGAGGAATTATGGGATTTTGGAACATTTCAAGTATTTTTGAAAACTATTTACATATATTCAAAACCCCAAAAAAACCTTTGAAAATGGGGAATCTGTCCCTTAAAGTTATGTCCTTCAAAATATAAAAGACTTTGGATCCGGTACATGAAACTAAGTATGAATGTAAGAATATGATCCAAAAATATTAAAAGATCCAGTAGAATTTAGGGCAAGGTTATGATCTTGAGTTATATACCATTGGGCCCTTGACTATAGATATTGAAAATGCTTGATTTTGTCTTGTTCTTAACTGATTTTCATAAAGATTGGTATATATGAGTATGTCTAAAAAAGACAATTCTTGTCTTATATAATCCACACAATCTCAAACATCAATATTCAATTTTAATCAGATTGAAATTTAACATTGACCATAAAGACATTTGAAGAAATAAACTATTTAGTGAAGTAATTGATTATTGAAGATGTTAAAACAACTAATCATGTAGGTATCTATATATAGACAATATTAGCAGACAAACAACAGTCAATGCCACACCCTGATGTTTACCATCTTCCATCAAAACTAGCTTTTTGTCCTACTTTTCTGCTCCAGTTTGGGCTAATGAAGACAGGTACTGCAATGCTGTGAGCATTGTGTCAAGACAGCAGTATTAGACTTCTTTTATTCAATTCTTGAAATGAAATGAATGGAGTTTTACATCCTACTCTTCTGCACCTTATTTGGCTAATGAAGACAGGCAATGCCATGCAGTGTGCAATGAGTGAAATTTTGTAAGGACAGCAGCATTAGCCCACCCTTTTCTTATTTCCAACTGTCGATGGATCTTTCACGTGTACAGCCTGATTGACTAGAAGCTTTTTCCTGTCAGCCCCTCCGACATGCATAACTGACAGGTGGAAATCGGGTGGAAAAATCTTCAGGTATTATCTCCATTGCTGGAATTGAACCATAGACCTTCAGGTTAGCGAGCGAGCATGTAAGCCACTGTGGCTCCCCATGTTATTCTATTCTTGAGAGATCTCTCAACTGCAGTCTGTGGCATGTAATCTATTGTCTATTGTCAAATTTTACTTACTATGACTACCATCAAGATAACAATGCCAATGGACAGCTCTAAGGCCAGTGGCCGTGCCAGCTTTCCCAGATTGGGGGTACAAATAGGGGGCAGACTGACTCAATGGGGGACAACTGCTGAAACTGAATTCAAATTTTGGCTACTCTGTGGTGGTGTCATAGTCGCAAGCCACTCATAGAGCGTCTTAGAGGGTTCTCTTAAAGAAATGTTTATAAAAAAAATTGATTTTGTGCATTCTGACACATTTTGGAGAAAAAAGGTAAACATTTAGATTTGTTGAAAATAAAGTGGGGGTACAATTAGGGGTGAAACCACTTTTCTAGGGGGGCAAATGCCCTCCCTCTACCTCCACTGGCGCCACAATTGTCTATGGTTCCGATGTTCCAGACTGTCATTGGAGAAAAATCTTGGAAAAAGTCATTCCAGAAAAACTATACTGCATCATGTGAATCTTGTGAACTGAAAAGGTCACAAGATTTAGAACTCATTGCCACTATTGTACTGATAAAATTATGAAAAATGACATTTTGTCATTAGTTTCTATGTGATTGACTATAAATTAATGTCATCTCATTAAAACCAACTTTATTTATCAGCCTTTGAGATTTTTGTTCAACTATCATTGTGAAATTTACAACACGCTCAGTGCCTTTATCTAAATGTGGCACGTAAATATATTGTATCCTTTACTAAAACCATTAAGCATCACTAGTTAATGAACATATGAATTAATCTTTTTCCATCCATTGCAAAAGTGCAAAATGCTTAATATTTAATGACACACTAAAAGCACTGATATCTAACAGTTTAGATATGACAGGAAAATACAACAAAATATACTTCCAAGTAATATTCCTATTAGAAAACTCCCAAAAAACAAATAAACCTACTCACAAATATATTGTAAGGCAATTTCAACTAGAAAGTCAGAACATATTCCAAGCATATATAGAATATAATGAGAGACATAGAAGCACTTGGTATGTTCACTTGTACATAGAAAATATAGAAAAACATGACAACACAAATGAACAATATCAATCAAACATTACCATATAAGCTTCTTACCGCATCTTAGTATCAAATATAAATCCTTGAATTATAACATACTATTATTACGAACTTCCTTTACAAACATGAACATTAAATATTTCACCATTTTCAAATAATATTTAAATCACAATTTCAAAACGTCATTAAAAAAAAAAAATTGCTTTAATTAGAGATTTCAATGAAACTTTAAGCTTGAATAACCATCATCCTAAATTTGAAATTGTTTAAAATTGATTTCAAATTTCACGGCAGACGGATTCAAAATTCAAAATTTTTTTCAAAATTATTCCTGCCTTTTTAGTCTTGTGAAGGTAACTACAGACAGGTATTATTAATATTGGTTGCCATGGATACCTATTGATAATGCGAGTCTTCATATTTATAACCAATCTGATAATGATGTGTATGTGTGTATTAGTTGAGATTTTAATCCTAAACATACAACCTGATAGTCAGATGAAACAATTTTCATCCTTGATGGACTTTAATGGGAATGTAAAGAGGTTTTCTGTTTACTGGGGTTTCATTTTTGGCTTCTACTTGCATCATTCTGAGTTTTGTGTTTACTGTTGTTATTAAAATGCTAAGCATATTTGACATCACTATCACAAAACTAACAATAAAATATTGTGAAATTTAAACTTTAAATTGAGCAAATTCAGTGGGGGTGAAATATCTGAGGTTGCCCGAATTTCTAACCTAGTTATGAGAGTCATACCTGAAAAACTTGCATTTGGGCTGTGAGGGAGGAGGGGGGGGGGGGGGGGGGGGGGTTGAGGGGGTCCAGTTGGCTCCGCCTCTGTGCAAATAAAATCAGTCATATTGGACACAGGGTTCAACCAATAGATTATCAGCCAGTGATCACAAACCCTAATTTAACAATAAATACATATATCAAGTATACATAAAATAAAGTCAAAAATATTTCTACAAACATATATAATAGTAAAAATACACTTACCATTGGGCAGCGAAAAAAGTTGAAATTAGCCATTATGTTATCTGGATGCATGGAAAATTTAACTGCATGAAAATGACCATAGATTAATAATTACTGCACATTAACACAATAGGGATACCTTTATAATACTATATAGTCTATAACCATATTATATAAAGTCTATTATAAAGACTGTATTCAGGATAGTTAAGGTTCTCAGCATGCAGAATTTTATTTTTCAAGCTTCTGAAAAAACTGTAATAATATTTTTGTCAAGTTAACAAGATTAATTATTGAGTAAAGTATAATGACCTATCATATTTCATTGTTATTTCATGTGATAACCACTTTCACAGTTTTATTATGGTCACGTTTCTCATTAACTATATAATTTACATGGATATATTTACAGTCTAGATTAAATCTATAATGATTTTCATGAAAATATTTACATTTTCTGGCTCCTGACATGTAATGGTAAAAAAAAAACTTACTATATTGAAAAGCCAAAAAAGTTGAAATTAGCCTTTCTGTTATATTGATACAGGTTTAACAGACCGCATGAAAATGCCGATAGGTTGATTATTACTATCGCATAGTAACGCAATCTCCAAGTGAATGAGTTTTAAAGGGATAGATGCGCCATTTTTTTTACCAATTGTACCTTAGTCTCTGAAACAGGATTTTTTTTAGCTAAGCCAATCAGTAATAGTCTTCACAGCTCACAGTTGAAATTTGTGAGTTGTGTTTGAAAGTTAAAATGACGACTCATCACTTTAAAATACTCTGTGATATATAGAAAAGACATATATAGAAATAGTGAGTAAAATTCCTAGTTTGAAGTATCTTTAAAGGAATTATGCGATTTCCTTACATTTCTAGTACTTCTGAAGACTATTTACATAATATTCAATAGTCAAAGCAACCCCCAAAAAGGTGCATGTGTCCATTTAAGGAGATATTTACATATTCAGAACAAATCTAGAATGATTTTCATGGATATATTTACAGACTCCACATTAAATCTAGAATGATTTTCATGGATACATTTCCATTCTCCACATTATATCAAGAATGATTTTCATTCTCCACATTATATCTAGAATGATTTTCATTCTCCACATTATATCTAGAATGATTTTCATGGATATATTTACATTCTCCACATTATATCTAGAATGATTTTCATGGATATATTTACATTCTCCACATTAAATCTAGAATGATTTTCATTCTCCACAATATATCCAGAATGATTTTCATGGATATATTTACATTCTCCACATTAAATCTAGAATGATTTTCATGGATATATTTACATTCTCCATATTATATCTAGAATGATTTTCATTCTCCACATTAAATCTAGAATGATTTTCATTCTCCACATTAAATCTAGAATGATTTTCATTCTCCACATTAAATCTAGAATGATTTTCATGGATATATTTACATTCTCCATATTAAATCTAGAATGGACATATTAATCATGTCTAAGTTTGATTTAAATCAATCATTAATCAGGATTGATTACCTCATGATAAGAACAAGAGAACCCTTGTGTTTGATATAAGAACTTCTCTTTGTAATCAATATGTCTGTGAAAATGCTTGTGTATGACTGCCCAAGGTTAAACTTTAGTGCTTTAGCTGTTAATAAATGATAAGTTTTTTTTAAGAAAAACTGGCAGACAACAAGACAGTAAAGCTAGTACTTAACCCTTTTCAGGAACAGTGTTTGCTTGTATGTTATTGCTCTATATTATTGAAAATGCTAGAGGCAGGGCAAAAGCCACTTGAGTCCAGGGGACTTGGGGCTGCCAGACGCCACTAAGAAGCCTACGGATTTCAGATCTTGAGGACTAAAAGGGATTCATTTTCACTTCAAAATAAGAGAAAGCCATGGCCCAATGGCCCAGCCATAAATACACTACTGGTTGGTTGTCTCCTTGTGTTGTATTGTTGTTCTCATTGTTATGTGTTGGTTTTCTCATTCTGATGTGTTGATTTTCATTGTTATATGAATTGGTTGTCTCCGTGTGATGTGTTGGTTGTCTCTTGTGATGTGTTGTTGTTCTCATTGTGATTTGTTGGTTGTTCCTTGTGATATGTTATTTTTCTCTTGTGATGTGATACCGTTTTCATTGTAATGTGTTGGTTGTCTCTTGTGAAGTGTTGTTTTTCTCTTGTGATATGATGTTGTTTTCATTGTGATGTGTTGGTTGTCTCTTGTGATGTGTTGTTGTTCTCATTGTATTGTAATGTGTTGGTTGTCTCTTGTGACATATTGCTGTTTTCATTGTGATGTGTTGGTTGTCTCTTGTGATGTGTTGTTGTTTTCCATTGTGATGTTGTTTTCATTGTGAGTTTAGAGTTCAGATGCTATCAAAATTTGGCCTACCTTGTAACTGGAAGTGATCTTGAAAAAGCAGGAATAGTACCATTAGCAGCTGATAAATCACCATTAATGGTTGGTGAAGCACTAAATGAATTTTGCAAAGCACCATTAGAGGATGATTTGTCTCCCATTAACATTTTATGTGTAAGCCCATTAACACTTGTGTTTGGTGAATGCCCATTAACACTTGTGTTTGGTGAATGCCCATTAACACTTGTGTTTGGTGAGAGCCAATTGACAGTTGCATTTGGTGAATGCCCATTTACACTTGTGTTTAGTGTATGCCCATTAACACTAATCTTAGAAGTGTGACCATAAAAATTGGAGTTTGGTTTATGCCCATTATTAGGAATAGATGGAACAGCAGGAGTGGGTGTATTTCTACCATAATCAGACAACATCCTTCTTGGTTGTGACTCTGTAATGCAAAATAATGTTTTTATTAGAAGGCTACATCAATTCACCTAGTTACATAAGGTAGCAAAGGTTAAAAGATTGTCTGTGTATAAATGTCTGGTTAGTTATGACATGTTTCCTCATTTTTCCATTCTACGTAACTGTAATATGTAACTGGGAACCCATGAAAAAAATAAACACGGCCAGTGCTGTGTACAGTGCAGAATTATCAATACAGCAGAAAATACAAGAAGCGAATCGTGTCCTGATACATAACTTGTATTTTTGCGACTTACATTTTCCACTATATCAATGATCCCACATTGTACTGGTCACTGGACCTAATCTATGTGTAGTGTCTGAGTTTTGTCTAAGACAGCTCATGATTCTTTCTTTTTCTTTTGGTAACATCAGTTGTCCTCTCTATTATTACATGGGTAAGATCAGAAATCATCTATACAATATGATTCAGTGGCCGAGGCAAAGGGGGGCAGAGCTGGCAACCACCACCCATCGCAGTCCTGAAAGCTTTTTGAGCGAAAATTTCATAACTAGGTTAGAAATTCGGGCAATCTCAGATATTTCACCCCCTCACAGACCAAAATCTGGCTTTGCCACTGCTTTAGGAAAATCTCTTATTGCAATGATGATATCAAACATTCCGTAACTTAGTAACAGATCAAGCCAACAGCCAGTCAACAACAAACAAAAGAAGGTAAAAAAAGAACTGCTTAAAAAATGTAAAGCATTACTATTTACCTGATTTCTTTAATACAGGATCCAAGGGAGAATGAACATGTCCATTTTCTAAAACTGAAATACAGATAAAGCTTTAGTTCACAAAATATTTTCAGCTCTTGGAAATAAATTGAGTCAATTATTAGTTTTAGAGGGTAAGGAAGATGTAGAACTAGACATCTTGTTTTGTGTTTCATCTGTGCATGACTCTAGCTGTCGTTAATGATCTTCGAAAAACGGTCATGCACTTGCACACACTATCAATTAATTTTAATGTGAGCCCAATTCAAAGCATTTTGCTGAAAAAAAAGTTATGTCATTTAGAAAAAACAAAGATTTCAAAATTTACATTGTATCTTTCTTTCTGAGGATTTCTTTTCAGTTAGTTGTCTATCTAAAGTTTCTGGTTGCTGTGGTAACAGAATGGATGGTTTATTAGCAGAAGCAGATGGCAAGCCTGGTGTTTGACTTCGAATTGGTTGTATAGAGGATTTGCCAATAGGATCTTTTATCATAAGATCAGAAAATTTGCTTTCAAAATCTTCAGTTTGAACAGATTCTAAATCGCTAGCATAGTAGTTTTTTCTAGAGGGTGGTGGTGCAGGTAGTGTCTTCTGCTGCTGGATTCTAGAAGACTTGACTTGGTTCATATCATCTCTATCTAGAGAACATAATGTAAAAACACTTAAAATAAATATCGCTGTTGCATTCAAGTTTTCAAAATACTTTCAAACTATGATATGCCAGAAATGGAAAGGGTGTAGTGCAATTCACTTTATAATGAATCAAAAGTACATAATTGCACCAACACACACTTCTAAAGTTTGGCCTTTGTTTCAAAAGTGAGGCATTTGTTTTCATTAGGCTACAGCATTGAACAGTGATCAATTATTATCAGAGGTTCCAAGTTATCAGACTGACCACAATATGCCAGGCTCAGTCGCTAGGAATGGTGATGGGGCTCAGATTTTGTACTCAGAAAATTTGAAGAGTTAAATTCCCACAGAACTCATTTCTGACAATTTTGAGGGTCCAAAAATGTATCCAAATCTATATCTTTTTGATTGTGTACAAAGACACTGTAAATGAATCAATATCTGCTGTACTGAAGCAAAACCTTCTTGATAATGATTATAATAATAATAAAAATCACCCTTGTTATTAAAGATTTCATTATTATTATTATTATCAAGAAGGTTTTGCTGGGGCTTAATTCTTACTTGCTGGGGCCCGGCCCCGCCTAACCACAGGGCTGACAGTTACCAGCAGTCACTTATTTTGAGGATCAAAAAATTGCTGAATAAATATCCATTTTAATCATTTTTACATGAACATCCTTCAAAATTGTTGTCATAACAGCAAGGCAGATCAATTTAAGAATGACATGAAAAGTAGATAATAGATGAAGTTTAAGACTAAGACTACTATGTGACTATAAGATATTAAAATACCAGATTAATATGTTAATGGTTTAGGAAAATAATCCATCTATATCATAACAACCAAAAAATTCTCATTTTTCCCACAATTTATTTTAATACTTAAAGATTAAAAAAAAAATGACCTCCAAAAAATGCTATCTACAATGTTATAATGCTATATAAAAACTACTGACTTACAAGTGTGAAAACAGAAGTCTCTATCAAATAAGCCAAATGGAAAATTCTTGTTTATACAGCGAACTAAGTACATCATTTCAAAAACCACCCATAACCTTGCCCGTCTTTACAATGGCTACGGTATTATGTCTTCAACTTATACCTTGACTGCAATGGGCCATTTTTTTGTAATACGATCAGTGATCTGACCATCAAATACAGCCAATCAGAGCCTTCGAGCCTGCGTAATTATTATTTGCAGACTTTCTGTCAAGGCCTCAGATTTCTTGGCTGCATTCAAAAGCATACAATCCAATCAAATTGCTGCATTCAGCATATCCGGAAACAAGAAAGTAGACTATTGCAGTCAAGGTATAAGATGAAGAAGTAAATTGACCATTATGAAGATGAAGCTTGTCCTGCACTCACTCTCTGCTATTATAAAAGTATTTTGAATACACACTTTATATCCTCTTCAGGAACTTATCAAAATGTCATATTCCATATCAAAACAACAAAACTTTAGGAAATATTATGTGAACTGAAGGCAGGGTTAATGTTAGTCTACTAGTACATTAATGGGAGATAACTACCAAACTATTGCCTGAATCACTTTACTATGAGAAATATAATAGTTCAGATCAAACCTTTCTTTTTGCCTGATGGAGGTTTTCCATTGGTTATCAGCTGGTCTGAAAAACTCACAAGTTTCTTTGCTCTAACATTTTTCAAACAGCCACACTGACAAGCTAAGTGATAGAAATATTCAGGTATAAATAAAAACAACCATGTATCCAAAACAAACTAATAATACTACTCCAATAACAGCTCATATTGTAGAGATACTTGACTAACAATTTTTTCTTAAATAATTTGCTTAAAATGAGTGTTCGAGGAAAACAATGGTCTTTTACCAGCAATTTGTTGAAGTACCACACTTGTATAACTTAAGGTGAGAGTCAAATAGAATCTGACAGGAAAGTAGGTGGAGCTTAAGTGTGCTACAGCCAGTCCATTCTGATGTTATTGAATGGCTGAAGCTCATCTCCTTTCTTAAAAGATATCCACTTTCCAACTATTTCGTATTACCTATTTCATTGGATAAAACAGTAACATGATTAATGTCATAAAAGGCTGTCTATCATCTTATCGGATTTGTTTGTTTAAATATGTTAACTAGTAAGAACTGTGGTATATTTACTGCTTAAAACTATATATATAACCAATACTCATTACAAAAACTCATATTGTATAACACTGTATATGCTGGATATATAACCAATAATCATTAGAAAAATTTATATTGTATAACACTGTATATACTAATTCTCAAATAACAACTTTTAAGGTATAAGATAAAACTGTATAGCTGGATATATAACCAATAATCATTAGAAAAACTCATATTGTATAACACTGTATATGCTGGATATATAACCAATAATCATTACAAAAACTCATATTGTATAACACTGTATATGCTGGATATATAACCAATACTCATTACAAAAACTATATTGTATAACACTGTATATGCTGGATATATAACCAATAATCATTACAAAAACTATATTGTATAACACTGTATATGCTGGATATATAACCAATACTCAATACAAAAACTATATTGTATAACACTGTATATGCTGGATATATAACCAATACTCATTACAAAAACTATATTGTATAACACTGTATATGCTGGATATATAACCAATACTCATTACAAAAACTCATATTGTATAACACTGTATATGCTAGATATATAACCAATACTCATTACAAAAACTTATATTGTATAAAGCTGTATATGCTAATTCTCAAATAAAAACTTTTAAGGTATAAGATAAAACTGTATAGCTGGATATATAACCAATACTCAACAATACAACAACTTTCACTGTATAAAATCGTGTAAGTGCTATACAATAAGGATGACATTTAATATACCTATTCATTTAATACAATTATTTGTAAGCTGTATGCATGGGTAGAAATTGCTCAGGAAAACTTTCATGCATAATTTACACTCCCTCTTTTGATATGGCAGCCATTACCCTCTGTTTCACTATCATTTTTCTGATGATAGATGGACTAGGGTTCAAAGGTTACTACTGACTTCAAATAATTTTCTTACCTTTATTATGAATCAATGCAGATTTAAATTTGCTTTCAAAATCTTCAGTTCTAATCGTTTCATTGTCACTTTGTTGTTTGTTCAAATCTTCCAAAAACCCACCTACCATGTAAAATAATTTTGGTTAAATAAACCAAATACAGAAAATTCCATATTTTGAATACATACAAAGCAAATTCGAAGGTGCAATTCCATATCCAGATTACTTGTCATATATTAAATCAGATTTAAATGCAGGACTGGAAACGGGATTTTATCTAGCTAAGTCAATCAGTAATAGTGTTCAGAGCTCAATACGCGTCCAGAATTATCCATGTTGGAACGTTAAAATGATGACTCATCAATTTAAGATACTCTGTGATATATAGAAAAGACATATATAGAAATAGTGAGTAAAATTCCCATTTAGATATTTTTGATGGCATTATGCTATTTTTGTAGATTTCTAGTACTTCTGAAGACTATTTACATATTTTCAAGACTCGAATCAATCTCCCAAAATGGCACACCTGTACATTTATCATATATTGCATGTTCAATCATTTTGTTTAAGTAAATAGATCTTACCCCTCTTTTTCTTCATAATCTCTTTAAATTTTTCATCAATTTGTTCTGCTGCTACAGAATCTAAATCACTAGGACAATAGTCACCATCTTTCATTTTTGCTTCTTTACTATTCAGTTCTAAAATATCAAGAATACCATACTCTAAATATTTACTATCCCAGCTATCTGTAGTACTTTTCAGAATTAATATCAGACCTTCTGCCTCCTGCAATTCAATCGTTTTCTTTAGATTGATCCTAATTCGACAAAATCCAGACGAGATAGTGACGTTTATTTGGAATTCTACATACTGAAAGTGTCCTCAAAACGCCTTAAATCCCTTTAAAAAATCTACTTACTACTCTCTGACAAAGATTTTTTATTTTGTTGACTGTCTTCAGATTTTGATTTTTCCTTTGGATAAGATTTGGGTGAACTTTTGGGCTGCTACATAAAAAATAACATAATTATCTAAGGCATTTGATGAGAGGTACTGTAAAAATCATCCTTTACTAATTGATTCAGGAAATAAAGATAGACAACATCAGTGAGCAATGCTGGAAATTTCAGTAACCATCCACCTAGTTTTAACATACACAGCCTGTAGCAGACAAAGTTCCAGTTTATTATCCCATATCCATATCCAAAACAGGTAGAAGCTCTTCCCATCAACGTTACTATCAGGAGTGGGAACTGGGATAAAAAATTAGAAGGTATTATGTTGTCATTTTTCAGAAACGGACAAAACATGGAATCTTGCAGAACAAAGTAGGCATGCTCATTGGGGATTCAGCAGTAGCTCAGTCTTACAGGAAATCACAGATCCAAAATAAGGAGTTCCTTTCCATTACCACTTACTTACCACTGGTTTACTATTCATAGCACCAAGTTCAGCATCTATTTTATCTAATATTGCATTCACAGGATCACTCTTCAGAAGTCTGTTGGTGGCAGCCATTTTCTTTTCTTCATTATTCAATTCTTCCCCATCAGAGGGAGCTATATCTGCAAAGATCAAAGATCTTATTTGAATTGTATACAATTTGCATTGAATTTGGATTTGGAATTTGGAATCAACCTGTGGCTCAGTTGGTTGAACCTTGGAAAATTTGCTAATGGAGGGTACTGAGTTCTTACAATCCAAATAACATCTAGTTCTATATATTTTTTTTTCATTTATTTTGTATGGGATACTCTAATCACATTGTATCATCTGACAAAATTCATCTAGAAAAAGTGTTCGGCTAAATTTTTATCTGAAAGTCAAGGTTATCTATGCTAACAAAAACACTCCTTAAGTACAAATTTTATCAGAAAAAATCAAACAATACCTGTGGCAGATCCTGATCTCAGAGCATCATCAGATCCATCACTCCATTCTTCATCAGCCTCCATTTTTAATTCTGTATTAATCTGAAAATAAGTTTAGATCTGATAATCAAACTTTATTGGTTAAACATATGAAAACTTCAATGGCGATTTCATGTGAAACCAGGGTTCTATGCCCTCTGAAAGTCTTTTGTCAATCTCAATTCAATAATATGCATACGATGGTCAATATGATGATGTGGTCAATAATGAAGTTGCAAGGGCAATAGCATTCAAGAATTGGACAACCTATCCTAGTGTAGAAATCATGTGAAGAGATCAACCTGTAAAATTTTACTGTGGCAGAGGAATAACTCAGTCAGTAGCAAATTGCATTGTTGTCTGCTACATGATCAAATCCCCCTCAAAGGTAACAAAAATTTATTGTCACTCCCAGTGATGTCACAAAGAGTTGTCACAATACATAGCCTACTGACAATATAACAGTTATCATCTAGAGTCAATAAGTAACAAAAACAGAAACTTCTCAAATATCTCAAGAATTTCTGAAGATAAGATAATAAAACCTATATTCTTTCAATATTTGACAAATAACATTCTATAAAGACACAACATGACAAGGTAAGAGCTATTTTTTTTTCAGAAAAGACTATTTTGAGATTGACCCTCATCAAAATCTATTACCCAATTAAGACATGAAGTTGCATCAGCCTTAGCAGCATCACAGATAAGGCATTAAAGAATGAAAATGACAATTGAACTGGCTAGAAATTATATTTTAAAACCCTTACATGCCTAAAAGTTATATTTCTATAGGATTAAGGGATTAAATATTCGCTTTTTCTGCAATATTGAAATATTCACAATATTGTTCCAGTAATATAATGTTGGAAGCCTTGTGTGTTAGGATTGAGTTTCCAGCAAATAATCCATGACACTTACAATGAAGAATGCTTTTATATTCTTCAGATTGGCACATCTGTTGGCAATTTTATTGATGATAACCATTGGAAAGAGTTTCCAGAGTGCAATAAATTTTCAAGATGGTTATGCACACAATAAAACCACACGTAGACCAACCGGAATGATGTCAGCCACACATAAACCAATCAAAATGATATCATCCACACATAGACCAACCAGAATGATGTCAACCACACATAAACCAACCAGACTGATGTCAACCACAAAAAGAATAACTACAAGGATGTCAACAACACATAAACCAACCAGACTGATGTCAACCACAAAAAGAATAAATACAAGGATGTCAACCACACATAAACCAACCAGACTGATGTCAAGCACAAAAAGAATAACTACAAGGATGTCAACTACACATAAACCAACCAGACTGATGTCAACCACAAAAAGAATAAATACAAGGATGTCAACCACACATAAACCAACCAGACTGATGTCAAGCACAAAAAGAATAACTACAAGGATGTCAACTACACATAAACCAACCAGAATGATGTCAACCACAAATAGACCAACCAAAATTATGTCAACCACACTTAAACCAACAAAAATAATTTCTAACACACGTAGATCAACCACAGGAATGTCAACCACACATAGACCAACCACAGGAATGTCAACCACACACATATCAACCAGATGTCCTAGAACATGTATATGTCATTCTACCAGTATTGATTGCTCATCCAGAAGACTTCAATACATTCCAAAGATTTATTCTTCAACACAGTCTTTAAGTATATTGGACCTCAGTAGAAATCACTTGACAACAATTGAGAATCATATCTTTGATGGTTTGAAAGTCACAGAATTAAACCTTTCCTTCAACCGAATTATGAAAATTGAGGACATTGTGTTTAAGGGTATGGGTGAAGTCAAAGTACTTGACCTTCAATTCAACCATCTGACAACTCTACCAAAAGCTATTGGAAATTTGGTCAATTTGGAAGAACTTCACATTAATCATAATAAAATATTTTCAGCAGAGGAACTCAACATTCAGTTATCTTCCATGAAAAAATTCCTTGCAAGTGGAAATTTTTTCACAGCTTGGCCATCATGGCTTGAAAAAATGCCATTTTTGGAAGAACTTGATCTTGGATACAATCCTATTTCTACCTTCCCAAAAAATATTCAAAATCATCAGTGGTCACTCAACGTGCTGATTCTTGACAACTGTAAATTCCAGTATGTTCCCATACAATTGGATCAACTACGCATGTTGGAAATATTAGACATGTCTTATAATCCTTTGGGTGATTCCGGATTTTTGGAAGAATCTTTCTATGAGCAATCTAATACGTTAAAGGATCTTAACCTTCAGAGAATCAATATCTCATCAGTACCAACAGCACTGAGGCAGCTCAAAACTTTGACAAAGCTTGATTTATCCCACAATAATCTGGAAATCATAAGAGAAAACAGGATTCCTGCAAATGTGACAGATCTGAGGGTAGAAGACTGTGGCTTAACCAGAATTCCATCTGCGTTTGCAAACTTGCCAAAACTGAAAAATTTAGAATTATCACTCAATGAGATATTATCAATGGATTTTCAGCACTGGAAAACCTAGATTTAAGTTCCAATAATCTAAGGTATATATCACCAAGCATCATTGACAAGGTACCCAACAATTGTTTCTCTTTGACAATAACCTCTCATCCATTCCTAAATTTGTACAGAACTGCCCTTCTTTACAAGGAATTAATCTTGATTCAAATCCTATCATGTGTACTTGCAAAACAAAATGGCCATATGAATTCCTTCAACAAAAGACTCAATTTAAGATTGAAGGCTATTGTGACAATATTCAGGGAATGAATCTTCAACATTTCCTTTTTAATTTTACACATTTTTGTACTTATGTTTAGTTTATGTTGTAAATTGCTGTGAATAATTGAAATATTTTGATCATAAAGAAAATCTTGAAGACGACTTCATCTGATTTCTAAAAATCCTACACAAACAGTTCAATTCTATGGGATCAACTGAGACAGACAAGGGGAGAGAACAAAGGTGAAAATGACTTACCGGTACTAATACTAGTGATCTAAATATCCTGTGATTACAATCTTCCTACTGCATCTTTAATGATCATATTGGATTCTGTAATTGGACCATAAGTACAAATCAGTTTCATATTCATTTGGATCCAAAATGTAATTGTTTCGCTTTAATGTCTGCCATATATGAATTTTGTGTTCAACAGAACTTTCGAGAATAAAAGAAATGACTCCATAATGATTTTGTGGTAAAAAAAAAGATAACATTTTCAAAAAACTTTTCAGCTCCCTGGTGAGCTATAGACGACAGTTACTGCCGGTTAATGCAGTGTGCAACAAGGGAAATTTATTAGTACAGGGGTACAAACTATAATTTTTTTTATTTTTATGTACACAGCTCATAGCACAGAGGACCTATTTTAATTGCCTTGTCCTTGATTTAGAAATAGTAAACATAGAAAATGATCAATAGTGTAGACCTACCGGCAATATTTGACAATCATAAAATCTCGTTAAAAAACCCGCATTATATTTTCACACTTTGATGTCTATTAAAAAGTACAATCATTTTTTTTATTCGTGTGTTTACAATCAGGTCATTTCAAAATGTTATACCTTCTTACCCTTTTATGACTTGTATATGAATGGAAAAGTTAAAAAAAATACTTCGAACCATAGTCTAACTTAGTCTACAATGGCAATAAGAAGACCCAAAGGTGGCTTTATTTGCAAACAATATGGTGAAAACCAAAAGGTATTTCAATATGTATTCAATGTAGGTTTTTATGATGTAACTAGTATAATATCACTTCTATTCAAGGCCATACAAAATATGAATAGCAATATTTGACCCTGGGAGTTGACCCCATCATAAATTGTATGTTGTTATGTTAAAAATACATACAGTACTTGAAAATGTACTGTACTTTACATTAAGGTCTCAATGTTAGACAGGACTGGTGTCAAAACTATACAACAGAATCCCTCTATAATCTAATAAATCCATAAACTAAGTAATAGTCCATTAATTTTGTTTAATGGATATATCATCTTATATAAAGATTATATTCTTTAGTCATGGCACCTGGTAAGTTCAACTGATGAATATATACTCTTATTGACCAAGTTTGAAATTTAAATTTAATGTCCATCCTAAGAGGTAGACCTAGTATCCCTTTAATTTCAGGCCACAGAATTGTCTAGTTGGCTCAAAGACCATTCTTTTCCTATGTACAGTGATAATAAAGTTAAAAATGGAGGGGGAAGCCTTTTTTCTTGGTTGACCATATGAGGTTTATCTCCTGCAGTGAAAACACAGTATAAATGTAAGTTTACTATGGGTAATGATGCACTAAAAGAGACTTGAAAATCATGAATTTCTTGCTGGTTATCAAAACTGGCCTTATTAAGAAAGATGGAAACAAGGTTAAGTTCATTTAGGATCCTTTCTACCAGCTGGTCCTTGGCCAAACATCTTAGCATTTAAATTTTTTTCCAGATTATCCATACCCATTTACAGTTAGTTCGACTTGAAAGATGACATATTCAAGGTTTGTAGGCCTAGATTACAACCCACAACCACCATTTTTCAACATAGTCAAGCATAAGATGTCATGTAAAGTTTCCAACACTCTAACTGACTGTGCTACAAACCCCTCAAATTATCATACTTTCAGTGGGATATTCACACAATGTTAATCCTAGTAATATTGTAGACTGATCAGTTTTATTATCAATAGATTAATAATACCAGATAATATTGATAGATATCATTAGGAATGTATTCAATACTTTAGACATGTTAGGGATCATATTTCTCTTCTTTTCAAAACAGATTAAAGGATTAAACATAGGTTTTCATATTTCTTAAAGCAATAGCCTATAGTCTACATATTTGCTTCATGTGCACATTTTCTGCTAACCGTAGTACTTTTCAGATTGCTAATCAGACTATAGGACTGTTTTTTAGTAGATGTATCTCCAGTCTCAGGAGGCTGGCACTACCACTTGTGCTAACAAATACACATGTATCACTCTGAAAATGTTATCGCTCAAACGAAATATTAAGCAAAAGTTAGTTTCAAACCAAATTAAGATCCATTAATTTATTTTTTTGTGACCAAATGTTATAGACTTGATTAATTAGCCTCTATTGAGTATCTGAAGACAATATTTTTATAAGTTTTGATGCTGAATAGTACAATATTTGATATTTTTATACATTGAATACATATCAACTTTTTAAATTATTTGACAGAATATATCAGAAATATCTGATCTATCTGGGATTACTAATCCAGTCCATAATGGAAATATATTTGATCGCTATTTCTGAAAATTTCAAAGTTTACTTTGGACTTTGTCAAACGATTTCTATTTAAAACTCTGATCATATATATGTGAAAAATGTTATTAATATGGAAAACATTGTTCTTATCTAGTACATTTAATACAATCATATATTATAGTCCATATCAAATTCTTGATAAATATTTTGTGGGGAAATGTAAACATGTCATTACATATTTGAGTACATAGTTGTCTTATCCAAATATACAAATCTATATTGTTTTGCTTCATTGGTCTATCACAAAGATTGGCTGTTTATAAAGAATATCTCTCATATACCAATAACTACAAATATACACCAACTGATATGTTATCTAAGTGAACTTTTTGAGAAATATCGTATCACCATATGGAGAATAAACTTCCCTGCCTTGGTCCAAGATCCACAATATTTGATCCTTATTGCACTGAATATGAAGACAAACAATAAACATTTATAAGGTCTTTAAATTACAAGAATTATGTACCTCTTATTGTACCTGTAAAGTTTAATGTAATGTACTAATAAACCAATTTAAAAATTTGGTTTCTTTAATGCACTTTAATAAACAGTACTACAATATATGTACTTAGTTACATGTGGACCCTAAATATACATGTAGCCTAATTCTGTAAGCATTTAAGTTAGGAATGTTACCCATGTACCCTATATATAACAATTTCATTTGGCAAGATTATTCTATATACCCTATATATGTGGCCTAATACTATGAGCATATCAATTTGGAAATTAATTAGTAAAGATTTGAAGGGCCTTAGATAATTTGCTTATCTCTTCTATATAATACTCTCAACATTTTAATTGTAAAGGTTGGTTGGTAGATGACAAGTTAACGTTCGCTTCCAGCGGATGCTGATATCGCAAACTATTTAATTGTAAATGGATACGTCTGGACTTATACCTTCACTTAATTCTAAAAGTTTTTAAATTTGAATGATCTTACATATAAAGCCTAATAAGACCAGTTTTATTTTGGTGGTTTACACATTTAATCTTTACTCATGTCATGAATATTTTTCTTGCCATTATAAAGATAGTCCAAAACAATATATTGAACTTTATCAATAAGCTTCAACTAGTTATGTAACATGCACAAACTTCTTTCTTCTTACATAGAATTTACAAGAAGAATTTAAAAAAAATAACCAAAGCTGTTATTACTGATAGTCTGTAATATAGGTGGAGAAAATTGAAAAAAAAGCAGGAAAACTCACCTTACATTCTAGGAATCTGAGCAAGAAATTGATAAATCATCCCCAAGTCTATAAAAAGAGTTTATTATAGTCCAGTATGGTATGAAATAAGTATTTAGATTGACTTCACCAGTGGCACTTGGCCAAAATAATCTTCAACCAACAAAATTATTGACAGTCCTATAGTAGAGAGCCACTATATCTTTAGTCTAGCTTATCCAGTCAGGTATAACTGTCAGCTTAGAGAGTCTTGTATCTCTCACCTGGATTAAAGTCACTATGGCTCATTATTTTACGTTTATGTCAAATTTTTTACATGCTAGTGCTATGGTTTAAAATTTATTTTTCTGAGACTGAAAAGAAAAAAATTAATTGTAAAAAAGTATTCAAGATATTCTATTTTAAAAAGACAAAAAAAGGTCTAAAAAATATCCACGAAAAATACGATTTGAATTTATGACACACAGTCACTTTAATTCATTGATTGATTTTTCATCAATAATATTTAGTATAAGACCATGATAGTCTTTTAGGTGAAATATTTCTTTGATGTCATTATAGATAGTTTTGACCAAGTTTATTTTGAGTAGAAATAATAGTCAAAATGATCCTCTGTACTATGCAAGATATGTTACAAAGTTATTATTAGAAAATGCTTATAACGTTTTTATGGAACAATATTCTTTATTGTTAAAAAGAGGCATTAATTAAGCTATGTGTCAGTTTTTACCCGTTTATAAATTATGTGAAGGCCATTATCTGTATAATTGTAGGCCCTATGTGCAGAATTACTTTGTATGTGCAGAATTTCTTTGTATGTGCAGAATTACTCTATATGTGCAGAATGACTTTGTATGTGCAGAATAAGAAATATTCAATGCTGTTTTACTATTTTTCATAATTATTCTGTATTTTCACAATTACACGGTATATATACATTTATACTAATAATAGTCACCAATTACTCTGTATATATTGATAAATACTCGCATTTCATCAATATTCACAATTACTCGGTATATATACATTTATACTAATAATAGTCACCAATTACTCTGTATATATTGATAATTACTCGCATTTTATCAATATTCACAATTACTCGGTATATATACATTTATACTAATAATAGTCACCAATTACTCTGTATATATTGATAAATACTCGCATTTCATCAATATTCACAATTACTCGGTATATATACATGTATACTAATAATAGTCACCAATTACTCTGTATATATTGATAATTACTCGCATTCTTGACTTCAGACTGAAGTGAGTAATCTAAATTATTTGTTATAATAAATTGTTTATCAAAGAGACTGGATAGAACTGACTATTACTTTTATTGTCCTTCCTTATTCTGTCCTGTATGGACACGTTAAAAGAGACTATCATATAAAACTATAGGAGTATTAATATATTTTATATATAGATAGAGCATATTCATAGAGCATATCAACATATAGATCCCGATAACTCCAGCTGCCATGTCATGCTATTACGAATTGCGTCTAATAAATTAACTGCAGTAGCCAAAATCGATTGTTTTGGTCTGTTTTTTGTTTTTTGGACGTGGAAGCTCCAATCAGGATTAATGTCGTTTTTACCCCAATACTCCTGTTACAGACCAAAACTTAGATTACAATTTTCTTTCAAGTTCTTGTGATATTCTGCGTCTACTTTGAAAAAATTTAGAAAACAAGATCAGAAACGAAATTTTAATGATATTGATTGCAGGCGAAACTTGATATTGAATAAATCAGTCATTCTGATCTAGATAGGATGATCAAATTACAATAACATCTGGGTATGTAACTTAAAGGAATGAATTCGCCATTTTTGGAGTTGATTTGGGTCTTATATATGTAAATAGTCTTGAGAAGTACTAGAAATGTGCAAAAATCGCATAATTCCTTGAAAAATATCCCGGAGTCTCAAGAAATGACAAGCCGTCATTCTAACATTCAATTCCGGATTCTGGAAGCACTTAGATTTGAAATGAAATGAAATAAATGCAGTTTTACGTTCTACTTTTCTGCACCACGTGGGCTAATGAAGACGGCGATGAGGCACATTTTGTTAGGTCAGCGGCATTAGCCTGATTTTTTTTTTACGATTTCCAACTGCATATTGATTTGAAGGCTCAAATTTCGGCAGTGAGCTGTGGACACTGTTACTGATTGGCTTGGTCAAAAAATTCCTGTTTCTACGACTACGACTTGCGAATAATATGTCCCTTTATCTCTTTGCATCTCTAGCAAGACAATATTATGCGTCAGAGAGCAACAGATGGCTGTGTATAATGTTACAAAATAAAACAATTAAACAATAAAAAATTTATTAAAATAAAAAAGCACCATTTCATAGCACCGTTCAAGACAGTGACTCAACTACCATAGGGACAGGTTGAACCTAGTCCACACCAGAAACAAAAAATATTAAAGGTTAACGCTCAATATAAAATGGTTCAACTTATGCTATACCCATATGATGGGGACAAATATATTTGTAGGGTACCCCTACTGGCGCCGTCACTGTCAATTGAGCTATTGAAGAAATTAATATTTAGACGATCACAAACCATTTAAAAAGATCTGTAACTATAACTATAGAGATGTATTGACATTGGACGAGACATATGAACTGTTAAGTGTTATTGCATAATTTGTTTCATAGTACCTGGACCATTCTGAAAGGATAGTTCCTTTACGATTCTTCATACAAATTCAAATTATATTCTAGTTTGTTCTATTAAGGAATACCACCTCTTAGATCTAAATTCTAAAACTTTGCCAATGATAGTATATAATCATCAATGTACTTACCTGGTGTCATTACTTTACAGAATACCCGTATGCATAAAACTTTGTAATAACTGAAAAACGCTTTTCATATGTTTTATGGAGGATTACTTTGTTTTATGCATTGTAGAGGGATTTTGTTGTTTAGTTATGACACCAGTTAAGTCCACTGATGAATACATTATACTCTTATTGGCGAAGTTCACGAATTTTATGTTTTTAAGTGGAGGTTTTCCTTTAACTGCTAAATTCATGTGATATATCGATTAAACATATTGTATTGCAGATTTCATGCAAAACGTGTTCACCAATCAATAGTAGTTTAATGTCATTAGTCATTTCTATCAACAACAACAAAAAAGAAAGAAAAGAGAATCACCAAAGTGAAAAGTAATACATGTATCTAGATCCAATCCTCTTCTTAGAGAACACCTTCAACAAGAGACCATTTTCGATTATTCCATAGAGTGATCTGTAAACACAGTTTCAACTGTACGGCAGAATAAAAACTGTCGATGGAACTCTGACGAGCATAGCTCTACGGGTTCGACGTTTTCCACTCGAATGATAAGTTATTTTAAGCATATTAGCCTGTAAATTGTTTTGATGCCTGTTGTAGCTTTAAACCTTTTCTCTGCAACCACAATTATACGAAACTTTCAAGTTCTTTGTTGGTAGGTGGACATCTTCTCGATGGTCAAGAAAGGTATTACGTCTCCATCTTGGACCTTGCAGCAATTTGATTGGATTGTTCGCTAGCGAATATAGGCAATCAAAGCCCTTGACGCAAAGCCTGTAAAAATAACGCATGAAATACGAGGGCTCTGATTTGCGTAAAATCCAATCAAACACCGATGACCGTGAAACAAGAAAGTGAGCCATTGCAGTCAAGGTATAAGATGAAGACTTTGACCATTGAGAAGATGGTATTGGTAGGAGGGTAATCGTCTAATAAAAATAATCTTGTAGAAAAGTAATTGGTTACGAATATATTGCTATCTGTACGTGTATTAGAAATAGGAAACATTACAGAATACTTCAGATGCCTCATTATAAAAAAATGGTTATAATATTTACCATACCCAGTGGTTCTATTCTATACTATAACTTATGGCAAGGTTCATGACGACAAACTTTCTACTAACATATTTAGCTGTTATTAAACAGGGACACATTGACGTTTCCGGTTTCTGTTGGAACTCCTCGAAATTCTGAAGCTCTGTCTCCTTGACAGTGTATACAAATATAAGCAGGGTATGCAAAATATTTAGATGAATCTCCACCGACTGTTATCACCAAGCCACCACTGGATCCAGGACATGTTTTAGCTGTATGGTACAACTTATCCACAACACTATCACTTTCAACAGCCAACATTTTACCCACAGTAACCTTTTTATATACTCCATGCGGATGATGTATGACCATGGGAGTGAATTCCTTACAACCCATAGGCCATGGAGCAACCCAACTGGCTAATGATGCTGATTTGACAAATTCTGGTACGTCAGTGATTTCAATGTAATGACCTTTGTCTTCTGTGGAAAGGATGCGAACAAATGTTGCCAACTGAGGTTCGTCACATCCTTTTTGGGTGAAGGCGACCTCACAAAAACAATCTTCACCTATATCTGGTGATGGTAGCGGCGCCATTACTAACCATTTATCATCTTTCATGTTAACATATCCATTACATTTCATACTGCTACCATCTTTGGAGTAGGTAATATCTGCTACCAGCTCCGAATTGTCGAACATTGCCATATCTTCAATAGCGGGCGGTACAGGACTAAAGGTGAAAAAGCATCTGTCTTGAAAATTTGAAGAACCGAGCATCTTCTGACCCCTGCTAGTCACAACTGCATTTCTAGTCACGTCATGGTAAAAGAACTCGATCTTACAATTTTTCACATCTTCTTCACAGCCAACGACATGGTCGTTTGTTAGGATGATAAAAACTGCACCAACTCTAAACACCACACCTGATCCAAAAATAGCACCAGCTGGTTTTTCTACCACCAGCCTTACAACACGATTTCCAAGACTTTGGATATACTTCAAGGTTTGCTCATTCCGATGTTTGACAGGAAGATCGTCCACATCTAAATCAACAAAATCCTTAAAATCGTCATGGGTATCCTGCTTACGACAATTTATCACGTCGGATAGAACAGGGAACGCTTCATCCGCAACCTCAAAATCCATCCTTTTAGCAGATTGATTCTTGCACAAATGCCAGTAACGGTCTTATGATATATGAACAAAGCTATATTTGGAACGTGTGGAAATTCCTGCAATTGCAAATTGCAGACAAAACACTTAAACATCACTGCTGATTCGTGTATTGATCGATGTGAACGTTCACATGTAGTCCGAAAAACATTCAGTTCACATAATGTTCACGGAGACTGGATCAATGTCAATTATGATTAAAAGACACTGAAGGAAATGGTGTTTACGCTCTACCTTTGTACATATTGGACTGTATTGTCGAAAGACAACTTCAAGTCAGGTACAATGGGGAAGAGTGCTTTGATGGTGAATATTATAATAAACTACCCCTCTTTTATTTCCAACATGTATGGGATCTCGACCCTAGGTATTTCCTACCAATAAAAGATATTATACCACTGCACTCGGATAATGAAGGATCAATGTCAAGCTTGATCAAGCTGGTAGAAAAGAACATCGTGAACATATGTTATTATCCTTGTAAAATATGGTTGTTTCTTTCTCAATTCAAACCACATTAACATTATTACGGCTGATTATGTCCTGTCTTACTTCATACACCAAGGCAAACATAATATACATGTAATATTTAACGTTATGTTATTGTATTCATGTTTTCACGTCTAACATTATGTTCTACGATAAATACACATATATATAGTTGAATAGGTACAACTTTAATTATACCCAGTAATTACAGTCTTTAAATCAACCACTGGTTGTTCCATAAAACTGTGTCTATATATCGTACTCACAATTGCTAAATGTCATCTAGAGGAACACTACCCCGTGACATAAAATTAAAGTGTCAAACTAGGTCAACTTCCATCAGTTGGACTGATACCATGACTAAAGAATATAAGCTGTATAAAAGACGACAAATCCACTAAAATTAAATGTTGAGGTGATCGAAAGCACTGGCATTAATCATAAGATAAGATTAGAAACTATAAAATAAATACTCTCGGGCTAAAGATTCACATTCGATCGATGAACTTTATACAATAAAGCGTAGGCTGAATACTGTGAACGTGTACAATATATAGGGCATCCCCGATAAAATACTACAGTTGTGTAATATAGTAATACAATAGATGACTGCTATAGTCGTGTTTTGTTGTTTAAAGGAATACTACCTCTTAGAATAAAACTAAAATTTCAATTCTCGAATTTGACCATAATGAGTACAAATTCATCTGTGAACTTGTCATACAACTATACAACAGAATTCCTTAGTAATCATTTTATAATAACTAAGTAATTATCATTTTAAAACTAAAGGTAATTATTGAAAAAAGCGTTTTTTTATAATTACATATTTGTTAGGATTTATCGTGAGGGATTCCGTTAAGTTATGACACCAGTTTAGTCCACTGATGAATATAACTACTCTTATTGGCCAAATTTCATTTTTAAGAGGTAGTATTCCTTTAAAGACTTCATCTTGTCTAGACTAGTCGACATTCTAAAAATCCATAGAAATAAAAACATAAACACGAACACTACATTGAACAATCTTTTAAAAAGTTTCCAGGGCATCAGAACTAACTATGTTTTTTTCTCACCATAATTGTACGAATATAACCGAAAATAGTTATCCATTTGCGCGAATAGGTAACTAAATCCATATTACCGAAAATAGTTATCCATTTGCGCGAATAGGTAACTAAATCCATATAACCGAAAATAGTTATCCATTTGCGCGAATTGGTAACTAAATCCATATAAACGAAAATAGTTATCCATTTGCGCGAATAGGTAACTAAATCCATATAACCGAAAATAGTTATCCATTTGCGCGAATTGGTAACTAATTCCATATAACCGAAAATAGTTATCCATTTGCGCGAATAGGTAACTAAATCCATATAACCGAAAATAGTTATCCATTCGCGCGAATTGGTAACTGAAATCCATACAAGAATAATAGAAATATAGTTTTCAAACTGTAGTCATAATTTAGCACTAATTGTCAGGTGCCTTCTCCAGTTTCATAATTGATAATAGTAAGTCTTACGATCAAGTTTTGTAAAATATCATCAGCCCATGGTTTATCATCAGGGTGCAATTATCTGAATTCTGAACTGAAAATCAAGATACGCCAACTTTCCTGATAAATTTTCAATAGATCAAAGGCGATCGCTAATCTGTGTCAAATCGTACCAGTACATGATATCAAACACACAAAATTTCATAAAACTTAAGGGCAATAACTCAAACTCCATTCATTGAAAAATCGTCAGATTCAAACATGACCAAGATCAGATAAAAACTGTAGTCTCTATTGTTTTCACAAATTTTGGCGCGTTTTACTTAAGTCAAGGGCAATAACTAAAAACCCATTCATAGAAAGTTCGTCAAATTCGAACTCGTTCAAGATCTAATCAAAATAAATGATCACACAAAATTTCATTAAATTCAGATAAAAACTGTAGTCTTTATAGTATTCACAAACAAATTTTGACGTGTTTTTCCTTAGTCAAGGGCAATAACTCAAAAACAGTTCTTCAAATTCGACCAAGATCTCATGAATATAAATGATCACACCAATTATGGACGGTCAGGGGCGAAAACAATATTACGATCACATTATAATGTGGGCGTATAAAAAATGCGCTATAATGAGGATTGTCAAAGATCGCAGGTTTTTATTCTACGAAACGCAACTATTGGAATTTTTGTTGATGGCAATATTATGGACTCAAAATTATTTTTAAGATGAAACGAAAGAAATAAATATTTATCTTTAAAACCCACCCGCATAATTATGATTCATTTGCTATGATTAATGTTTTACGTTGAAGGGTGTTTAAAATGCAATAAGACACACAGCTAAAAATATCATGGTGGAAAATACGTGGGTGTTAGTGATGGAATTCCCGGGGATTTTAGACCGCATTTTTATAAATATCTCAGGAAAATTAGTGCGAAACATCTGCCTCTTTCCAGCCACTGATAGATTATCGGCTGGAGTAGAGATGACAACTTTCAAAATAGCTATCAGAGGCTGGAATGAAATGAAATGGAAGACGGGCAACACCATACAGGGTGAAATGAGGGAAATTTTGCCAGGACAGCAGCATTAGCCTGCTCTTTTTCGATTTCCAACTGTCGAGGGATTTTAAGCATGTAGCACGCGGGGCCTGAGTTTATTGTCCCACCCAATGGACTACCTACATCACTGACAGGGGAAAACCGGGTTGTAAAATTTGAAGGTATTATCTCGACCTGTGCCGGGTTAAACCATGGACCCTCAGATTAGCGTGCAAGCGTCTAACTCACCGAGCCACCGACGGTACCTCTTGATAAGAGGCTGATGTATTGGTCTTAGGGGAAATAAATATTTTGGTTTGTATTGTATGCAATCAAAGTTTCACAGTGGAATAATGCATATTTCAATTTTTCTCGAGACCATATTATTGTGACCAGTTTACATTGTGGTCAAATTGCTTATGATCAATTTTCCACGTGAACAAATTACTGTGATCAAATATCATGGACGCTTATAATTATAAAACGGGACTAGATAAGCAGATAGAAAACAAAAAAAGGTATTTCCACTTGATTTTATTTTTGATGTATTTAGATCATTTACAATGTCCTTCATGTTTTACATGTAACTGATGAAAATCACACCTCGCCTTCTCAAAATAACAACTGAAATCGAAAGTAGAAATTTTCATCAAATTCTAAATTTAGATTTTGATCATTTGACATTTCATAATTAATCATAATTATGAAAAGTTGTACACAAATATATTTTTACACGCGTGGGTTTTTCCTGGTTTAGCAAACATCGGTTCGATGCAGCGGAAAAACCAGATAATTTCAGCCACAAAATTTGATTTTGTAGAGCTTATCACACAGTTCACCTCTGTGTATGGCTAGAATTGGATAATTTAATTTAAATACTCACTAATTTTTGTATGAAACCCGATCACTGGCACATAATACATTAGTTCTATCTCGAGAGCAGTCCATCTTTTTAATATCATTACATACCACTTGTAGAATCAAATCAAACCCGCCACGTTCTTCAGTATTTGATGAACAGTGACCTTCATGAGCAACTTTAACAGATTCGTTGATACATTTAGCTTGAGCAAAGTGACATCTGCAAAATATATAATTATTTAAGAAATAAATGGCGAATTGCGTCACTCGAATAAAACATCCAAAATTGGATTAAAGGGATTGTAAAGCTGTTTTATAAAATTTGTATGTGTATCTGGGATACTTGTAGCACCGATTCGATTTTCAATCAGACATCTGTGGTTCCTGCTATTCCACTAAAAGTAAGCTTTTAGTCACGTCACTAATCGCTAAATATGCTTTACCAGATAAGGCCTTTGCGATTAGTGACGTCATCAAACACTTGGTTTTAGTTGAATTGCAGGAACCACAGACGTCAAATTGAAAATTAGAATGACCCTGATAATTTTTTTTCTAGAAAACCTCTTTACAATCCTTCAAAGCAATTTGACTACTAAGAAACGTGGTTGTTTACAATACTCACGCATTGATATAGGTTATGCCATTGGTACCACAATTTTCATTATGTGTATATTGATGACAATCTATTTTTCTGATAGCCCTACATATCATTTTCTTACTAGCTCCTTCACATTGTATTACTGAAATATACAGATATCTTAGGTCCTTTCATTTATAAATAAGCTTGCAATGCTATCTGATTATAATACCATCTCAAAATTGTCGATCTTTTTACCACCAAAGATCGATTTTGGAGCGTTAACTGTTTCAAATTTATATATATTCTTTCCCGGCTAATATCCCAGGGCCGCAATGAGGCACATGAGGCAAATATCGATTTTAAAAAATTGGTCTAAAAAATTAAAATTATAAATATTATAATGATATCCGCTAATTTGATGTCTACGGTAATGGTAAATCGAGCGAAAACGTTGCGATGAAAGACATACCTAACTTCAAAGACAGCAAGATTTTTGCTTCATTAAAAGAGGACGATATCAAGTTACGGCAACAAGAAATGAGTTATACACTTACCAAGTAGTGTAACAATACTAAGAATCAAAATACCCGAAATATTCATGGTGTAAGTTAATGTCCAGTTGACCTCCTGTCTCTGTATATTTTGTAGAGTAAAATATGAATTATTAAGACAATATATTATGTTAACTGTTATCTATATTATCTTGTTAAAATATGGGGAGTATTTTAAGTATTCATATTGGTCCCCTGTTAAATAACCCTCCACGATGTTGACCCCAGTTCATATCTTCCTTGCTGAGGTCTCCGATGTGAACACAGTACAGATAAAGGGGCTTATCTAGAAAATGCCTGTGTCCTCTGTGTGTTTCAGTCTCACAATTCTGTTTCACCTACCTATGAGGCAATATAATTACAAACTATAATCTTCTGATAGTTTAACGAATGACGTTTCTCTGAACAGAAAGATCTAAGTTTTCTTCTAACCCTACAATCACTGTAATAGTCGACGGAAACGATGTATAACCTCCAATTAACTTGCCCTGATTCTCATCTTGTGATTAATGCAAACATTATAAGAATTTAGACTACAGCGATCTGCCTTGAAACGTAAAATTATTAAGTCGTTTTGTACAGTACATAGTAAGAAAATGAAAAGAAAATTTTTGTAGTTATTTCCCTTTGTCCATAAAAGCAAGATTTTAGACGCGCGTTAAGATTCCATTTCGTTATGCGTTTATCTGGGAAAATAATGGCAAATACGAGTATTTACTGACAAAACAATTCGTATATTATTACAGGGCTTACTCTTTTACGACTAACCATATATATTAAGCAGAATATAAGCAATAAGCACTTTTCTCGTCAGAAAAGGGGATTTGTTATTGTAGCTCTCAAGATCTCTATTTTATTATCTAACTTCGACCAGACATTCTCACCAAATTCTAAAAGTTCCTGGTACTCATATTCTTTGAAGTCGAACCAGACATAACGATTATCGTTCGCCTCATTGAACAAATGAAGAGGTATTGTTGTCTTAATACATTGTCAATAATTTATACAGTCTTCTCTTTACGAATATAAAGCAGGGAAAAAGAAAAGAATGTTTGAAAATTTTTTAGTCTCTTTGTGGATTATTAATTTTTTTTCTCTCTTTAGAAATTAGATTGAAAAAGTTAATACATTTCCTTCTAATATTTGTTTATATCAAATTCGATCTTTCAATATCATGGCACCCGAACGAACTATTGAATAGTTAAACTTGCCCTTTGATGGTAAATATAACAATTTCCATTTAATTGGTATAGCAATACGAAACCATATCTTTAACAGTGAAACTAGCCATTGGATCAAGGTACATTGTATAGCAATATAAAACCTGCAAATTAATAGTGATACCAGCCCTTGATTCATCGTATAACAATGTGAAACTAGCCCTTTGATAGTGACACTAGCCCTTTTATAGTGATACTAGCCCTCGATTCATCGTATAACAATGTGAAACTATCCCTTTAATAGAGATACTAGCCCTTGATTCATCGTATAACAATGTTAAAATAACATTTAATAGTGATACTAACCCTCGATTCATCATATAACAACGTGAAATTAGCACTTTAATAGAGATACCAGCCCTGATTCATCGTACAACAATGTGAAACTAGCCCTTTGATAGTGATATCAGCCCTTGATTCATGGTATAATAATATAAAACCAGCCCTTTATTATCCTTTAACGATGGAACTAGCCCTTGGTTCATAGCATAGCAATGTGAAACCAGTCCTTTGATATTGTGTGGTTCACAATATAGCAATGATGTACTATCCCTTTAATAGTGAAGCTAGCCTATTAATTGTGGTTCAATATATAGCAATGTGAGACCAGCCCTTCATTAATGAAACTAACCCTTTAATTGTGGTTCAAAGTACAGCCCTTGTGAAACTAGTCCTCTAATGGCGAAACTAGCCCTTATTAGTGAAACTGTAGCCAATTAATTGTGGTTCCAGGTATAGGAATGTGAAACTAGCCATTATTTTAATTGTGAAACCAGCCCTTGAATAGTGACACTAGCCCTTTACTCAAGGTATAACAATGTGAGGCTAAAATATAATGTTTAAATTAGTCCCCTTATTGTGGTTCAAGCTATATAACGTGAAACCAACACGTTTATAGTAAAACTAGCCCTTTATTACTGGTTTTATTAAATAAATTTTATCTACTACTGTTACTACACAACGACCTTAGATAGTGAAACTAGCCCTTTGATAGTAGTAAAGCAATAGTACACCAATATCGTTTAAACGAAGTAAGACGAATTGATCAATATTATCTTGACCCGATCTTAATAAGGGAATTATATAAAGATATTGTATGGTCTATTCACACGGATTGGTAGGTATATCAACTCCACCCTACATTTTCAATACGTCATATTGTGCCCACTTCTGTTAAATAGACCTACAGATAGATAGACCAACGCTATGTTTAAAATATATTTATACAGGTCATTGCTTATTTAAACTTGAAAAAAAAACGAGTGTTAGAACACCGTAAGTTAAGCCTACCCCTCGAATGTATTTTGATAACGTGTGGAGCACAGGGGCACTGTAGATAACTGGCAATGTCTTGATGGTCTCATTAATGGTTCAGCTTTTATTGATATAAAAATATATGCAAAACATGGTGAACATTCTAAAAGTTAAGCGACCCAATGGGGGTCGGAGCAACTTCTATTAAATGTGACATTTTATGTCGGGCTCTAATCGTGTCAATATCCCATCCGTATATCACGTTCGAGGAAATTGGTACGTCGGTTCTGTTGAGCTTTGTGCAGTGGTATTGGATTGGCAATACAATAGAAAACAGAAAAAAGCTATCCGTGTTCACTTCTTATACTCGAAATATCACATTCAATCTTGGGATTTTTAATGCTTTTTTTTAATCGGTCTATCATGAAAGTTTAGTTAGAGCTCTGCAAAATTCAGGAATTACGGAAAGATTGTCGAATGTTTTTTAGTTACTGTATTAACTTAAGTACCTTTTCGTCATGTAGATGACATATTGACTGAGCCTACGTGATCGGTCCTATGTCTTCGTGTGAACCAAACCAGGTAACCTTCTGTAACACAATTACTGTCGAAAAAGTGATAGGAAAGAAAATAATTTATTTTTGTCAATGGTCTTTGATTTTAACCAAATTGCGAAAACAAAATTCTATAGAGCGATCTATAGAAAAATCGAGAATAGAGTTCATTAAGTAGCCTTTATGATTTTAGGTAGATGAACTTTTGCGTAAACATCTATTCAATACGTTATCAGATGTAGGTCAGAAGGGCTTTTACGGCAATTGTTTGATGTATTATTGGTCACCGAAGCTTAGAAATATTTTAAAAATCAAGTTATTCAACGGTTATTTATTGTCAAATAGTTTGACATTCATGACCCCGATATATATATTTATCAAAATAACTTGTAGGTAATAAAACCAGGTGTTACACAGTGTTATGTTATTGACACACCTCAATCAAATTTATTGACCAGCGTTACGAACTGATTGGAACTGAATAACACATTTTTTCTAGGGTAATGGCTATTTTTTCCGTATTTTGGAAATATTCCAAAGTCTAAAGACGGACCTCTTGAACGTTCGTAAAATAAACCTTTTCACCTAACCTGATGACCTCAGAACACGTCTTTGATCGCTTCAAATCTTATAAATTTGTAGTACTTATTACATGTAAGTGATGCAACTCGCACATATTAGTATGAAAAAAAGAAATATTGTACTCCATAAGTTCCTTTTTTTTTATGTAGAAGACACTTAAAGATTCTATTTGCACCAAACTGATTTGCCGTCCTTGTCCGTTTTACACATCAGAGTAGAAAACTTAACCGAACCTTTTTACATTGTGAACAACGTCTGATTAATACGGATGCTCGATGTGGTCATTGCTACCCTCGGCTTCCTGTCCACTAGAAAGATGGGAGAAAAGCGAGAATTATTGAATATGCACTCATGCATCTTCCAGTGACATTTATCTCTAAGCGAAAACTCGGTCGCCATTAGTCACTCTACTGGTGGCTGAAGTATATCTAGAGGGTTATCTCACAATGCTAATAGTTCAGATGGTGAGAAGTCGAAGAAACGAAAAGACGACAAGACGAGAAAACTGGAAAGCGATGAAAAAGTGGCAAGTTAAAAGGGGAGAGAGTGAGAAAGCTTTCTTGCCTTCTTTCTCTTTATCTACGTTCAATGAATAACCACTGTTTAGTAGATATCAAATAAGGGCATTGATCAGGGTTGGTAAAGTTACACACAGTGTGAATCATATACAAACCAATGTCAATATTGTTCTTCTTTCCACTGTATTGTATGTATCGAATAATTTATATAGATTAGACAGAAAAAAACTATTTTAATGACTTATTTTCATGATAGGTGACTAACTTTAAATAAAGCTTTTATTCTTCGGGATCGATAATAAAGTTGTTTTGGTAGATATTTTGGTCACTTTGAATGGACAGATATTAGCTGTTTATTATAGCGGAATGAGTATATAGGTAGACCCCTGGTCAGCTTGAAAACAATGGAAAATGGGTATGAACAATAGGTAATAGGTAATTTTCGTGGTGTTTATATGTCTATCACAGCGGTAGTTAACATCATTATCTACACATATTTAAGGAACTTAGCCTTGCATCAATTTTCTTTTTTTTTATATTATTAAAGAAACGTTGGTCTGCAATCACCTAAAAATGTGTTTTTCAAGTCGATCACATAGATCAGAGCCTCGACAGAAAAACTGGCTTATCGGTTACCGACTTGCTGTCGAATGGCTCTGATTTTCTCTAGTGTATTCGCTAGCGTACTCTCAAATCAAATTGCTTCATTTTCAAACTTCCATGATACAAGAAAAGTGACTATTGCAGTCAAGGCATAGGACGAGGATGATATTAACATCATTATCTCTTGACGCCAGTCGGTAACCAAATTCGAAAATTTCGATAATTTTGGTTTACGTATTAGGCCTACAGACGTTCGATAATTATTGGTCTCTGTTACAGTGGAATTTATTGAGACGTTGTTCTCCATAAACACAAGTA